AGGCGCCCACCACCACACCTGGCTAATTTTTGTATTTTTAGTAGAGACAGGGTCTCACTATGTTGGCCAAGCTGGTCTCGAACTCCTGACCTTGTGATCCTCGTGCCTCAGCCTCCCAAAGTGCTGGGATTACAGGCGTGAACCACCATACTCAGCCTTATTTTACGTTATTTTTGAGACAGGGTCTTCTCTGTTGCCCAGGCAGGAGTGCAGTGGTGTGATCATGGCTCACCACAACCTTGACTTACTAGGCTCAAGCAATTCTCCCATCTCAGCTTCCCAAGTAGCTGGGACCACAGGTGTGTACCACCACACCTGGCTAATTTTTTGATTTTTTGTAGCAACAAGGTCTCACTATATTGCTTAGGCTGATCTTGAACTCCTGGGCTGAAGCAATCCTCCTGACTTAGCCTCCCAAAATACATGGATTATAGGTATGAGCCACTGCACCGTCCTGGGCTGCTTCAGATGGTGTGCTTGCAAGTGAAACATTCTTTCTAAAACACTTGCACATTTTAAAATGGAGAATCTCCAGCTTTTTTTTAGAAACGAATACAATGGGCCAGGCACTGTGGCTCACGCCTGTAATCCCAGCACTTTGGGAGGCCGAGGCAGATGGATCACTTGAGGTCAGGAGTGATCCACCTCCAACCGGGAGGTGGAAGTTGCAGTTAGCTGAGATTGTGCCACTGCACTCCAGCCTGGGCAACAGAGTGAGACTCTGTCTCAAAAGAAATGAATACAATGAACCACACTGTCCCATCACCCAGCTTCAACAATTATTGTCTTACAGCCAATTTTGTTTTGTCTGTGATCCCCACCCACTTCTTGTACATTTTAATAAACAATTTTTGTAGGCCATATAATATGATTGGATTATTCCAAAATAGAGGGGTTATAATTGTTTAATCAAGCTATCTTTAATTCTAAAAACAATGCTCATTAAAAAAAATTTAAATATGTACACAAGAAAAAAGAGCAAATCTGGTCTTCAGTGACTTCGTAAATGTGCTTAGAACATTGCAGAGGTTTGGCCGGGCGCGGTGGTTCAAGCCTGTAATCCCAGCACTTTGGGAGGCCAAGGCAGGCGGATCACCTGAGGTTGGGAGTTCAAGACCAGCCTGGCCAACATGGAGAAACCCTGTCTCTACTGAAAAATACAAAATTAGCCAGGCGTGGTGGCGCATGCCTGTAATCCCAACTACTGTGAAGGCTGAGGCAGGAGAATCGCTTGAACCTGGGAGGCGGAGGTTGTGGTGAGCCAAGATTGCGCCATTGCACTCCAGCCTGGGCAAAAAGAGTGAAACTTCGTCTCAAAAAAAAAAAAAAAGAACATTGCAGAGGTGCTCAGTATAGTAGACATCCAAGGCAGCCTCTCTCCCACCGGGCCCCCGCCCTCAGCCCTCCCCTGCAGCCCTGGGCAGGCCTCCCCCTCCCCAGACCCTCCTACTCTGCTCCCTCACTCCCTAGATCAGATTAGTCATTTGCTCCCAGACACAGCATTTGCTTGTTAATTGTGTGGCTGGCCAGGCACACTGCCAACTCCTGGAGGAGGACATCGGTTCCTCTTGTACCCCACACCCAGCACAGTGGCCTAGTAAACATGCCTTGAATGAATCGTTGCACCCAGAGAGCAACTCCACTCACAGAGTGGTGACCATCGTTTCAGAGGGAGTGGATGTAATAAGGCAATAAAGCACAGTTTGGCTGGATGTGGTGGCTGACGCCTGTAATAGCACTTTGGGAGGCCAAGGTGGGCAGATCACTTGAGGTCAGGAGTTCGAGACCAGCCTGGCCAACATAGCAAAACCCCATCTCTACTAAAAATACAAAAATTAGCCGGGCATGGTGGTGTGCGCCTCTAATCCCAGCTACTCAGGAGGCTGAGGCAGGAGAATCGCTTGAACCTGGGAGGCAGTTGCAGTGAGCCGAGATCACACCACGGCACTCCAACCTGGGCGACAAAGCAAGACTCTGTCTGAGAAATAATAATAAATAAAGCACAATTGGAAGATTTGCAGGAAGTTCACCAAAATTTATACCAAGGAACCAACAGGAGAAATCCAAACCATTCACGCAGTACAGAGGTGTGGATAGGTATAGATGGAGGGGAAGTGGCTTGATTTGGCCCCTGATCAGAGAGTTACTGTGTCAGAAACCAGTTGCTGCCCCTCTCCTTTGTGACCCATCTCTGGCTGCCGCTGCCTTAAGGTCATCTATGGGAGCCCCGAAGCCATGCCTTTGTATGTGTGCTCAGACTCCCACGGGTTAGCCTCCAGCCCTAGCTCACACTGATAAACGTGACAAACCACATGAGGACACCAGGTCCATCTCCTCCCAGGGTGAGTGAGTTAGGCCCCACCCCACACAGGGTGAGGGCGCCTGGCCTGAGAAAGGGCTTGGTAAGAGAAGCCCCTGAGTGGCTGGGGCCTGAGCCCCATGGCAAAAGCAAAGAGCACTTAGAGTCCAGCAGACCCAGGTTTGGAGTCTAGTTCAGCCTCTTAACTAGCATGGGCATCTTGGACCACTGTCTTCAATATAAGCCTCAGGTGTCTTATCTGTAAACGGGTGAGAATAATTACATTGCAGCCACATTAAGGAAGAATATCCTGTTTACAAAGCACGTAGTGGAGAGGCAGTAAATGGGAGCCGTTTTTTTGTTTTTGTTTTTGTTTTTGAGGCAGGGTCTCACTTGTCACCCAGGCTGGAGGACAGTGGTGTGATCACAGCCCACTGCAGCCTCAGACTCCCAGGCTCAAGTGATCCTACCACCTCAGCCTCCCGAGGAGCTACGACTACAGGCGCGTGCCAGCATGCCCAGCTAGTTTTTTGTATTTTTAGTAAAGACAGGGTTTTGCCATGTTGGCCAGGCTGGTCTCAAACTCCTGGGCTCAAGCAATCCACCCACCTCAGCCTCCCAAAGTGCTGGGATTACAAGCATGAGCCACAGCACCCAGCTGCCATTATTTTTTTTCCTTTCTTCTCCTTCCACCCCTGTCCCCCCGACACACAGTATCTCAACCTGTTGCCCAGGCTGGAGTACAGTGGTACTATCACAGCTCACTGCAGCCTCCAACTCCTGGGCTAAAGGGATTCTCCTGCTTCAGCCTCCCAAGTAGCTGGGACTACAGGCATGCACCACTATGCTTGATTAATTGGTTTTTAAAAAATTATTTTGTAGAGCCAGGCACAGTGGCTCACTGTAATCCCAGCACTTTGGGAGGCTGAGACGGGCAGATCACCTGAGGTCGGGAGTTCAAGACCAGCCTGACCAACACGAAGAAACCCTGTCTCTACTAAAAATACAAAAAATTAGCCGAGCATGGTGGTACATGCTTGTAATCCCAGCTACTCGAGAGGCTGAGGCAGGAGAATCGTTTGAACCTGGGAGGCAGAGGTTGCGGTGAGCCGAGATTATGCCATTGTACTCCAGACTGGGCAACAACAGCAAAACTCAGTCTCAAACAAACAAACAAAAAATTATTTTGTAGAGATGGGTCTCACTATGTTGCCCAGGTTTGTCTTGAACTCCTGGCCTCAAGCCATCCTCCCACCTTGGTCTCCCAAAATGCTGGAATTACAGGTGTGAGCCACTGCGCCCAGCCTGTAGCCATTATTATTAGGTAATTTTAGTAGATATCTCTACCATAAAGGGCCTGTGAACTTCTAGGTAACCAGTAAGGCCAGTGGTGTACTGCTTTGCTGCCATAGATTTTTGTTTCCTAGTTAATACCCACGGAAACATGAATCTTACCTCTAGCCCTGCGGTCCCCGGCACAGAGATCTTCAAAGCTGGCTGCACAGCAGCATCACCTGTGGAACTTACGCTCATGCTATTGTGATTGCCCGGGTCGAAGGTTGGCACCTGGCCTCCTCCTGATGCACAGGCCCACCCACAGAAGGGATCCACTGAAGCCCACCAGGTCCGGAAGTATGAGGAACCCCCAGCACCCACCTCATTGTGGAACTCACAGTCCAGCCACTCTCAGGATGGATCACCACCTTCATCAGAACCATCTGAGCAGCTTATATAGCTTTCTGGGGGCCCAGCTCAGACCTGTTGAACTGGAATCCCCGAGGGTGAAGCCAGGAATGGGGTTCTAACAAGCTGGCCGCAGTGCATGCCAAAGCATTTATGTTCTGCAGGAAAACACGCTGCCTGCGTGAGTGGTGCATGCAGGTGCTGGCTTCCATAAAGACACTAGAGATTGGGCAGTGTTTGAAAGATGGTGCAACAGGCCCCTCACCCTGGGGCCCGCGGGCTCACCACTCTGCCTAAGGAGTTGCTCTGAGCTCTCGCCCCAGCCCTTGTACACGGCAGTGCTGCATTTGAACCTTTCTTTAATTTTTTTGTTTTTTTTTTTTGAGATAGAGTCTCACTCACTCTGTCACCCAGGCTGGAGTGCAGTGGTGTGATCTCAGCTCACTGAAACCTCCACCTCCCAGGTTCAAGCAGTCTTTCTGCCTCAGCCTCCCTTGCAGCCAGAATTAAGGTGGCCACCACCATGCCGGGCAAATTTTTTTATTTTTTTGAGACGGTGTCTGGCTCTGTTGACCAGGCTAGAGTGCAATGGCATGATCTCAGCTCACTACAACCTCTGTCTTCCAGGTTCAAGCGATTCTCCTGCCTCATCCTCCAGAATAGCTGGGATTACAGGTGCCCACCACCACGCCCAGCTAATTTTTGTATTTTTAGTAGAGATGGGGTTTTGCCACGTTGGCCAGGCTGGTCTCGAACTCCTGACCTCAAGTGATCCACCCACCTCGGCCTCCCAAAAGTGTTGGGATTACAGGAGTGAGCCACTGTACCTGGCCTTAAAGGCCTTTCACCTCGCCAGCACACCTTTGCTGCTGGAGGATGGCAAACACTGTTTCCTGCCCCTGTGCTGTAATTCTCACAGATATGCAGAAAGATTTGTTTGCCCTGCCTCAGTAAATAAGGAAAATACTTTCTTAGGAGGCTGTTCCAATAACTGCATGTTCCTTGCCGTCCTCTACAGAAATCACCATCTGCTCTCCCAAGTTCTTCTGGAAAGAGCACCGTAACCATGTCATCCTAACAGCGATGCCATGAAGAAAGGGAGGCAACTCCCTCCATGTCCTGGCTCCAGTGCCCACTCCTGTGTCCCCTCCACGGCCCACACAGCCTGGCCACCTGGGTGACATCTGGTGCCTGTGTCACTTTCTGCAAGACAAGGACCAGCCTCAAAGAGGAGAGCATGTTGTTCTGAAGGAGATGGTGGCTGCCATCACCTGTCCTGTGGCTTTCCTCTGACTGCCCAGGTGGGGGCCCAGTGGCGGCGCCTCTCACTCCAGTGGAGTTACATAATTTCCAGGCTTCCCTGCAGTTTTCTCCTCCCCATCCCTGAACTGTTTACACAGCAGCTCTCACCCACAGAGAGTCCGTGTGATGGCTTTTCCTCTGTTTGGAAGATGTGGATGGCTGTGTCCCAAGTTTTTCCTACCTAAGATCCTTTTCAGTAGGGGATGGATTCGGCCTATCTGATGATCAAGAGATCAGGGTGGCCTTTGTGATACTGTTATGCCCGCTCCCAGGTCCAATAAACAGTCTTCTGACAAATAATGGCCCTTCCTTTTCCTTCCCCACCTGTCCACCACCTGGTAATGTAAGCGTGGCAAAATCCCACACACCCCTTCCAGAAATCCCAGGACTCGTGTGGGAAATACTTGCATAATTAAAGCCTTCTGAGAAATTGCTTCTTCCTACTTTTGAGAACTTACCTACTTTTGAGCAGTGCTTTAATCCTGTATTAAGGGGACACCCCCCAAAAATGGTTCTACTTAATTACCCACCCTTCCTCAATCCTTTCTCCTCATTAATCATGCAAGCCTTTTTTTTAGATGACCCAAGTGCCCAAAGCAATAATTACATTTCAAGTGTATTTTTAAAAATCATTTATTACAAACATTTACAATGTTCACTTTAAATGCAAAATAGCTTGTAAAAGAAAAAAAAACACTGAAAAATATACTGACCCTTTGCCCCATATACAGACATCAGCCTTTGGTATTTGCTTTCAGGTAATTAGGTAAAACAAACAAACAAAAACTTGAAACTATTATTTATCTCCAAGAAAACAACGTAGAGTTGAGGTATTCTATTTAACAGATGTGATCTCCATCCAATAAGGTCTCTCTGTTAATTAACAGCCTTGCAACATGCTGTTCCAATCCTTTCCTCCTAAAGTAGAATTTCATTTGAGCATATGTTCATAAAACTGACAATGTTCCTTAATAATCACTAAGGTTGCCATAGAAACTCCCTGGTGCTGGCGCCCAGCCGCACAGAGGACAGGAGGCTGAAGGGCCCTTACAGGGCACTGAACTGGCCCTGAACTGGCCCGCCTGCCCCTCCATGTGCAGCCCCCTGCCCACGGCTGCACGGGACAGCTGGGTGCAGGGCTCTTGCCTCAAAGGGTCACAGGTTGCCCCTGCATCTCCAAGTTAAGACAGATTTCTCACCAACTCCACCTGGAGCTGGTGTCAGCATCCTCCCCACCTGGGTTAGCCTTCAGGACGTGCTGTGAGATAACAGAGCTCAGCACCAAAGCAGCCAAGAAGACATTCTTGAACATTCTCCAGGACACAAACCCATAGACCACAACACTCCTAGCCTGCCCCGCTGGGCCCTGTTCACTACCAGGTGGGCTTCCAGCCTGGTTCCAGCAGCAGATTCCACACCCTGCCGCCACAACCAGTTTCCTTTCTCCCAAGACAGCAGGGAAATGCCAGAGGCTCCGTGTGAGCTCAGAGCCTGATAAAGAAAGTGCAAGGGCAAGTCGCCATCGGGGCCAAGAGCTTTCTGAGTTACCAAAGGCCTCGTCAGCATAGCCAATGCTACCCCCGGACACATTTCTTGAAAATATTTCATTAATGCTACAAACATTATTTATCATTTTACTTTAGACCTTGAACCAGCATATTTTTTACTTTCCCCACCCAGCAAGATAAGCTGTTGTATTTAATCTAAATGGTCTCTGTCCCAGCGTTTCATGTCTGGCTGTGTGGCAGATGGCTACAGGTATTAGGCAAATAACAGCACTGCTGGGGACTCAAGGCAGTGGGGGTGCTGCAGAAATACAGGTAGAAATGCCCCGTGGATTGCGACACATATTCAGTCACCACAAATTAGAGAACAGAGAGAGCTTAGGATGTATACCTGTGTACACTGAGCCAGGCCTACAGCCCAGAGAAGACACTTTTTCTTCATTTACAGTAGCTTATGAAAAATAAAGGGAAAAAAACCCTCTTCAATACAAAAACAAAACGAAAAAAAAGCAAAAAAAAAAAAAAAAAAAAAAAAAAGCAGTTCCATTACAATAAAAATGAAAGCAATAACAATTTGGAGATCAAAGCTGCCTAGCTCTTGGCAATAATGAGCTATCTGAATTTCACATCTTCCGCTAGCATGGTTCTGCCCGGCTTCGGTAATACCACATGTGGGTAAAACGGTATAAAGAATTAACTGTGGGCACATAATCACCCTTCATGCAGATTCTCATTCTTAATATTTCCCTTTAACAGCATTTTTGCTGTTCTCAAGTCTCAGAAACTTTATGCAGCAGGATGGGAGGGAACCACCATAACCACCTGCCTGCCTTTTTTTTTCCTTAAATGTTATTGTTTATAATAGAGATGGTATCTCACTATGTTACCCAGGTTGGTCTCAAATTCCTGAGCTCAAGCAATCCTCCCACCTCGGCCTCCCAAAGTGCTAGGATTACAGGCGTGAGCCACCACACCCAGCCGTCCTGCCTTTTTGCCAACTTAAGATGAGGTGCCTCAAGCAGCAATAGGGTCTAAAATCTACAGACAAACCCAGCAATGAAAAGCACGGCTTGCTGAAGACAGTAACAGCTTAAACCTGGAAAACGGTAAACAAAACATGGTCACTTTCCTCCTTTTGCACCTGTCTGGTGATGGTGGCTGTTTTTCTAAGAGGGTAGAGTATTAGAAAGGTTTTGTGGTCTGGTATATCCCCACTGTGGAGTACCCTGATAACTTGAGAGCTAACTGGGTAACCACTAACACCACTGAATTTTCAAAGCTCGGGCAGAAAAGTCAGCTGAAGTGGTTAATCACGGTGTTACAATTAGACATTTAGTTCTGCTTCAATTCTTGCAGAGCTGAATCAACTCAAGGAGCTAAATAAAAAGAGGAAGGCACCGAGGTAAGGGATTTTTTTTAAATGGGATTTTTACCTTTACCTCAGTAAGGGATTTTTTAAAAACCTGCCCCTTTGATAGCAGAAGGCTCAGGGCTTTCAGGGTGGGGAATTTCTAGGACCCTGCCGGGTAGTCGTGGGAGGCTCCCTTCTCAGCACTGGGACAGGGACCGGACGCCCTCTCCATAACCGCCTGGGGGAGTAGTCACACACTGGTTTTTCCCTAGAGTAGAGAAGAGGCAGGCTATTTTTCCACTTTTTAAGACAAAAACAAAATACACAATAAAACCACAATCTCTTCTCTAACAGGGAAAATATTTTTTCTTTTCTTTTTCCTTTTCTTTTTTGAGACAGGGTCTCACTTGCTCAGTCACCCAGGCTGGAGTGCAGTGGTGCAATCTCGGCTCACTGCAGCCTTGACCTCCCAGGCTCAAGAGATCCTCCCACCTCAGCCTCCCAACTAACTGGGACTTCAGGTGCACTCTACCATACCTGGCTAATTTTTATGCTTTTTGTCGAGATGAGGTTTTACCACATTGCCCAGGCTGGTCTCAAACTCCTGGACTCAAGTGATCGTCCCGCCTCGACCTCCCAGAGTGCTGGGATTACAGGCGTGAACCACCATGCCTGGCAGGAAAAATATTATTTCTCTTCCTCCTTTTTCACTTGACTTAGTTTTGGGCTAAACAAAGTTATGGTGCTTCCCCCACACCTAAGTAAGTTACTTCTATGCTGACACAGCGCATATTGGATATTCCACCCTCTCAAGAGAAAACAGTCAGCAGTTTTTTAAAAACCAAGTTAAAATGCATTCTTGCCGGGCTCATTTTTCTTTTCACATTGTCTTCCTTAATATTATCTTCCCTAGTTACCCAGGTTCGGCTGACAACAAACAAAGCTGCAGTAAAACAGTTTTGATCTCAGCACTGGCAGAAGCCCTCCCTGCTGCCAGCTCTCCTTTGTGGGAGGTGGAGAACAGAGAACATTGGTTTTCAGAGGCTGTGATCCCCCGCGCAGCTCCCACTCTACAGGGGATGGTGGAGACCCTGTGCCCCTCTCCTCTCCTTCCTCTGCTTCTCACCTGAGGTCCTGCAACCCAAAGCCAATGCAGTTGCCTCTGTATTCAGCAAATGCCTAGGATTATCATTCACATTTAGCAAAATGCTAATGAGGAACTAATTATAATTCCGTTGAAAACGACCAGGCCCTGAGATACTGTATTATTCACCCACCCACCCTCAGCTGTTTTTCAACTGTGGGGAAGAAAGGGAGGAGAGAGCTTCTTTCCCCAGCCTTGGCGGTTTAAGTAAAAGCCGTCCCCAGGCTCAGAAAAACAGAATTTGCAAAGGCACTTGGGTTTTAGGAGTTTGAGCTGGAAGATGAAATGATGCAGTGGGCCAGGAGCGTGGCGGCTGAAGGAGGCTTTGGCTGGAAATCCGCCCCCCCTGCCTGAGGGCGCAGCTTGTGCAGAGGTGTTGGGGGGTGGGCTGCCAGCCGCTTCTCCACACTGAGGCCCCCACCAAGCTGCCCAGCTTTTGAGTGTCCGTGTTGAATGTCCAAAGAGTCTTGACATGCTTCTCTTCACAGTGGCCCAAGTTCACTCTAACCCCTTTAAGCCAGACATTTGGAAAGGGAGGTTTGAAATCTCAACCAGCTGAACAGCTGGAGCAGGCTGATTTTCCCCTGGTGTCGAACCTTCCGCAAGGCTCTTCCGTGAAGCCAAAGGCCCCACTCCCCTGAGATAAGCTGGCATGGCAGTAAGAAGCATCCTTTGCTGAGCCCGTTTGTGCTCTGTCATCCACAGGGTCCAGCCTGCTAGTGCCCCCTGGCCAGCTATCTGGGGAAGAAGTAGTCTGTATTGCTGATGTCGTAAGGGCTCCGTGGGTCCCTGGCATCTGGTCGGTTGTGGCTCGAGGTGTTGTCAGACCCCAGGCTGCTGGGGGACACTGGTGGGGAGATGAGAGGAACAAGCACTGGGGTGGGTCGCGGCCTCTCTGGGACCAGCTGCCCCAAAGAATACGGCGGGTGCATGCTTGTCTTGCCTTCCTTCAGAGCCCGCAGCTTCCACGTCTTCTTGAACCTTCACATAAACACACAAAGACAAACCACACAGATGTTTAGCTCCCCCTGTGACAAGCCCACATTGGAAAACACCAACAGCTGGCTGCCCTGGTGGCCTGGCGCTCCCAGGTTTCAGCTCAAAGAAGCAAAAACTATCAGCTGTCTTTTTGGTTTTTGTTCATTTGTTTGTTTTGAGACAGGGTCTTGCTCTGTTACCCAAGCTGGAGTGCAGTGGCATGATCTCAGCTCACGGCAGCCGCAACCTCCTTGGGCTCAGGTGATTCTCCCACCTCGGCCTCCTGAGTAGCTGGGGCTACAGGCACGTGCCACTACATCCAGCTGATTTTTGTATTTCTCATAGAGATGGGGTTTCACCACGTTGCTCAGGCTGGTCTTGAATTCCTGGGCTCAAGCGATCCGCCCGCCTTGGCCTCCCAAAGTGCTGGGATTACAGGTATGAGCCAGCACACCCGACCCGACTGCTTTTATCACCAGGGAGTTCACCATACTCTGAAGAGTTGCTGAGTTTCCAAAACACTCCCAAGGAAATAGGTATTATTGGACCAATTTACAACTGAGGAAACTGAGGCACCAAAAAGTCACTTAACAGTCCCTTAATTGTCCCATTCCAGAGGCTGTTCATTAGGTACACATCATCAGTCCCAAATACATTTACTTAAAAAAGAGAAAAATAGGCTGGGTGCAGTGGCTCACGCCTGTAATCCCAACACATTGGGAGGCTGAGGTGGGCAGATCACCTGAGGTCAGGAGTTCAAGACCAGCCTGGCCAACGTGGTGAAACCCCGTCTCTACTAAAAATACAAAAATTAGCTGGGCGTAGTGGCAGGTGCCTGTAATCCCAGCTACTTGGGAAGCTGAGGCAGGAGAATCGCTTGAACCCGGGAAGCAGAGGTTGCAGTGAGCCGAGATCGCGCCACTGCACTTCAGCCTGGGCAACAAGAGCGAAACTCTGTCTCAAAAAAGAAAGAAAGAAAGAAAAGAACAGAAAAGAAAAATAAAGTATTATTTTAGTAGGGAAAGAAAATGGGCCTCTCAGTCAAAGTAAGGCTGGCAGGAGGCAGATAATTTGCAACTGCCATGTAATAGCGGGAAAAGGGTCCCACTGCTCCCTCAACTGCCCTCCTGTTCCTCTTGCTCCTAATGTTGCCAACCTCCCCAGTTCTCTCTACGCCTCTGGGTCCACTCCTACCATGCTGGTGAGTTCCCACAGACTCAACTGTGGGCACCACTGGGCACAATTTGACTCATCTAACAGGAAAGTCAATGCTACACAGGAAGGAGATAGACATCTCTCTGCTCACAGCTTCGTTCACAGTGCTCCACTCTGGGCCCAAAGCCAGGGCTCAGTAACTGAGAAAAGTCACTTGACAGCTCAAAGAAAGATGAAATGGTGACATGGATCTTCAAAAGCACAGTCACGTCCCCTTCCTGAAGGGGCTCTTCAACTGTGCCAGGGTGGCCAGTGCGCCAAGCCTCAGCCCCTCCCTCTTGCTTCCCACTTTGTGACTGACATGCCTACTAACCCCAAAGTGGGAACAAGGTGGCCTCCCTCAATTCCATGGAAGATCAGTTACTCCAGGAAGGGCTGGGAAAGAGGAGGGGAAACCAATGTCAAAAACAAGATTGGGGGATTTTCCTTGGGTTTCTTTTTATATCGACAGGTTATTCCTGTCCTTGTTATGATAAATAATTAATAGTTGGCTCCAAATCTGCCACTGGCTTTTACCTTGGTATCCAAATGGAATAAACAATCTGCAGAATGTTATTTAGGGCTTCACCATGTGGACACCACACAGGAAGAGAGCCCAGTAGGGCTGCTGACTGGAGCTATGCTGAGTCACTGAATGGAGTTCTCCTGTAGGAAAGGACTGAGGAGAGAGTCATTACACTCTGGATTTCAAAGAATTCAGACTCTCTGACCCAGGAATTCTACTTCTGGGAAAAGAAAGAACATAGCTATAAAATTAAAAAACCTTCATGCACAAAGATGTTCAACACAGTGTTGTTTATAAAAGCAAAATAAGGCTGGGTGCGATGGCTCATGCCTGCAATCCTAACACTTTGGGAGGCCGAGGTGGGTGGATCACTTGAGGTCAGGAGTTCAAGACCAGCCTGGTCAATGTGGCAAAACCCCGTCTCTACTAAAAATACAAAAAGAATTAGCCGGGTGTCATGGCGCATGCCTGTAATCCCAGCTACTGGGAGGCTGAGGCAGGAGAATTGCTTGAACCCAGGAAGCGGAGGTTGCAGTGTGCTGAGATCGTGCCACTGCACTCCAGCCTGGGCCACAGAGTGATATGTCTCAATAAATAGATAAATAAATAAATAATAAATAAATAAATAAAATAAAAGCAAAATAACACCCAAATAATTGGTAATGTTTGGGTGCCACCAATTAGAAGTAATAGGAGGTTGATTAAGAGAACTCGGTATATTCACCTAATACTACAGCTAATGAAAGTGAGATTTATGGCCAGGTGTGGTGGCTCACGCCTGTAATCCCAGCACTCTGGGAAGCCAAGGCGGACAGATAACGAGGTCAGGAGTTCGAGACCAGCCTGACCAACATTGTAAAACCCTGTCTCTACAGAAAAATACAAAAATTAGCCAGGCGTGGTAGCAGGCGCCTGTAATCCCAGCTACTCAGGAGACTGAGGCAGGAGAACTGCTTGAACCCAGAAGGCGGAGGTTGCAGTGAGCTGAGATTGCACCATTGCACTCCAGCCTGGGCAATAAGAGTGAAACTCCGTCTCAAAAAAAAAAAAAAGAAAGTGAGATTTACAAAGAATTTGTACTAATGTGAAAGAATGCCTATGTTATAGTGCTAAGTGTGAAAGGCAGGATACAGAGTTGAGGATACAGAATAATCATGGCTGTGTAAAAACAAACAAGAAACTAGGCAGAGGAAAAAGACTCAGGAAATTTGTCTAAATATTAAGTGTTCTTGATCTGGGTGTTGATTGTGAAACCATCTCCACAGGGTTGACAAAAATTGCATGCTGGGCTCTGGACAGAAATACATTAATAGTTATAATGAAGCAGTAATCAGGCTGCACTTTGGCCCATTTCCTTATTGCAAAAAGTCACGTAGCCCTAGACACTGACCATCTGCAACCCCGTTGTTCCTGTAGATAGGATTTCTGACATTAGGATCCTAAGACTTTTGTTTAAGGATCACTTAAGATGTTTTACAGACCCCGAATTCCGGCAACCAGTTTGAAGACCCTCACAGAGGAATGGGATTGGCATGAGAAGACAGCTTGTTCATCTCCCTGTCCCTGGACCTCACCCTACACCCTGCAACCAGTCAATCATCTCCACACTTTGGCCCAGTCCAACATTTTTACAACCCTAGCCCCAAATTCCTTGGGGAGATGGATTTGAGATGCTGGCGGAGGATTACCTAGGTGCCGAGGCAAGAGACTGAAGGCACAAACTGTTTCAGTATGCTAAAGAAAATAGAGTAGGCTGGGCGCGGTGGCTCACGCCTGTAATCCCAGCACTTTGGGAGGCTGAGATGGACGGATCACAAGATCATCAAGACCATCCTGGTTAACACAGTGAAACCCCATCTTTACTAAAAATACAAAAAATTAGCCGGGCGTGGTGGCAGGTGCCTGTAGTCCCAGCTACTTGGGAGGCTGAGGCAGGAGAATGGCGTGAACCCAGGAGGTGGAGCTTGCAGTAAGCCGAGATAGCGACACTGCACTCCAGCCTGGGGGACAAAGCAAGATTCCGTCTCAAAAAAAAGAAAGAAAATAGTTAGAATAAGAATAGTCATAATACAAATTAGATATACAGATGATCATTGACAATTATCAATCATTATTATAAACATTATTAATCATTAGCTTTTAATATTACTCCTTGTTGCATTACTAATACAACCTAGGAATAACGGGTGGGTATAGGGTCAGGAGCTGAAAGGACATTGTGAGACATGACCTAGAAGGCAAGAGGTGAGCCTTCTGTCATGCCCGCGCAAGGGCCGCTTGAGGGCTCCTTCGTCAAGCAGTAACACCAGTGTCTGGGAAGGCACCCGTTACTTAGCAGACCACAAAAGGGAGTCTCCTTTCCTTGGAGGAGTCAGGGAACACTCTGCTCCACCAGCTTCTTGTGGAAGGCTGATATTATCCAGGCCTGCCTGCAGTCATCCGGAGGCCTAAACCCCTCCCTGTAGTGCTGTGCTTCAATGGTCACGCTCCTTGTCCATTTTCATGCTCCTCCCGCACTCGTGGTTCCTCTTTGAAGTTCATAGTAGATAGCAGTAGAAGAAATAGTGAAAGTCTTAAAGTCTTTGATCTTATAAGTGCAGAGAAGAAAACGCTAATGTATGCTGCCTTCTCTCTCTGCTTCGGCTACCTAAAAGGGAAGGGCCCCCTATCCTGTAATCACGTGACTTGCTTCACCTTGTAAACCACTTAGAAGATTCACCCTCCTTACCCTGTCCCCTTGTCTCGTATGCAATAAATATCAGCGCGCCCAGCGGTTCGGGGCCACTACTGGTCTCCGCATCTTGATGGTAGTGGTCCCCCGGGCCCGGCTGCTTCCTCTTTATCTCTTTGTCTTGTGTCTTTATTTATTACAATCTCTCATCTCCGCACATGGGGAGAATAACCACTAAGCCCCGTAGGGCTGGATCCCACAGAGGTTTCCTCCCATCTCCTCCTTAGGTGACCCTCTGATTAAACCTCTTTCTCTGCTGCAACCTGGTGTCTTGGCATCTTGACTTGCCACGTGCATCTCATTATAATTACAATGACATGGGTGCGTACACTTCATGGCACTGTACACACGATGTGGGAACTTTTCTGTATATTTGTTAGACTTTAATCACATTTACATTTTGAAAATTAACAGTGGCTCTCTTTGGATGACATATTTTTTCCATTTGTCATTATTTAAGTCCCTATGGACCTAATATGGAAGCAATCTCTGTCCTTAGTTTTTTTTTTTTTTTTTTTCCCCAAAGTAACCGAATGGGTAACCAAGAACGGTGAGCTTTCCTTTTGAAATATTCTAAGGAGAGTATGAATCCTTTTCTGAAAATCACTAAACTCAAAGAGGACTCTGAAACCAGCCAACCTGAGGGTGTCCAGAGCTGGCCTGGATGGGTGTGAGCAGGGCCTGGGGGCTGGAGAGGACGCGGGGCAGGCAGATAGAAGAAACAGATGAGCTCTCTGCTGCCTTCTTTTGCACCTGGACCTCCACCTTTTATCTATTTTACATATTTGGGCTTCAAAAAGTTTTGTTTAAAGAAAAGATTCTGTAGCTAAAAGAAGTTTTTAAAAATGCTCAAAACTCTCACTTTTTTAGAAAGATATGTAGAAACCAAGGTGCCACCCCTTACCCCAAAGGCCACAGACAGTGCCCACTGCACCCAGCCACCTCCACGGCCCAGAACACCATGAAAGTCCCTCTGCCTGTCCCCCAGCTGTGGAGGTAGGAGAAGCTCTTAAAATACCAGAATGATACACTACATTCAAAACAAAATGATGTTTAAGTCATAGGCATACACATAGGAAGTCCTCATTTAATGATGTAAGTTCATTCTAGATAAATATGCAGAAAAATAATTATTTACTAGGAGAATCCTATTTTCCCAATGCCTGATAACCTAAAATAAAGACAGAGAATCCGTGGGGGACAGGGAATAGGGTGGGAAGAATTGGCCCCTGTAAGATGGCAAGCCTTTTCAATAGCCTATTTAAATTTTAAAAAATCATCTATGATTCAGAAAAAAAGAATGAGTAATAAAAGACAAAGAAAAAAATCACCGATATTGCTGGAAAAAGATTTAGGGCCATACAAAAAATATAGTATAGACTGGCAGGATGAAGTCAACCTGCCTCTCACACTTCACCTACTGTAAATGTGGCCATCCCATGGTAACCACGGTTCAGCCATTTTGGCAGCCCAGAGCCCCACAGTATTTCTAAGTTTATACTCTTTGCTAGACAGAGGGGATTTGGGGAATAGAAGGATTCTTCATCGCCTGAAATAACTGGCCTCTTTCCAAACAAATTTGCCTTCTACAGAAGAAAATGGAAACTCACTAGGCTAGGAAATAAATTCCTGGCATGTCCTCAGCACAGGGCACTGGCCCTGTCTGTGCCTGCAGGGACTCTGGTTGTTTAGCAACCAGCCAGTGTCCAAGCATCATCAGCAGAATAGCAAACCAGGTCTGTTCCCAACCTGATGCTCCTCTATTTGCCGTTACGACACACCAAGATGGTGCCGTGTGTTAAGGGCCAGTGGTGGGCCGATGGGAGCAGCTGGGCCCAGCTCTTAGCCAAGAGCAGGCGGGTGCCATAGGCAGGGACTCTCAGGGCGTGTGTTCCACTTCTGGTTCTTGCTTGTCCTTAGGCAAGTCATTTTACCTTTGGGGGCTGTTTCCTCATTTATAAAATAAAAGAGTTTGACCAGATGACCCCTAAGGCCCTATAGAAAGAACAGGAGTTTTTGGTTTGATTCTTGGCCGCCTTCTTCTGCTGCTGCCCAGGCTGGAGTGCAGTGGCACGATCTCGGCTCACTGCAACCTCTGCCTCCTGGGTTCAAGCCATTCTCCTGCCTCAGCCTCCTGAGTAGCTGGGATTACAGGCGTGCACCACCACACCCAGCTAATTTTTGTATTTTTAGTAAAGGCAGAGTTTCGCCATGTTGGCCAGGCTGGTCTCGAACTCCTGACCTCAGGTGATCCACTCGCCTTGGCCTCCCAAAGTGCTAGGATTACAGGCGTGAGCCACTGTGCCTGGCCTATTCTTACTAGCTGTTATCATACCATCTCTTTTAGCTTCAGTTTCCTTCCCTGTCAAATGGATATCACATCTGCTCTACAGGGCCTGTAGTGGGTTATGAGAAAAGCCTGTTGAATCCCTAATATAGACACAGAGCCAGAACACAGGAGGGTATACCTAGGGTGAGGCAAGGAATCCTTTGACAGGCAGGAGGTGGACCCGTGAATGCTGACATGGCCCCTCACTGGCCAAAATATATAAAAGGCTTTGTGTCCTCCAAGAAGCTACCTCCACTCATCAAGAATCTTATCTTCCACACACCCTTTAGATGGCTTGTTCTCTACTTCATTGAAAAAGCAAAGTGAAGGCCGGGCATGGTGGCTCACGCCTGTAATCCCAGCACTTTGGGAGGCCGAGGTGGGCAGATCACGAGGTCAGGAGACTGAGACCATCATGGCTAACACAGTGAAACCCCCTCTCTACTATGAAATCCCCTCTCTACTAAAAAAAAAACACAAAAAATTAGCCAGGCATGGTGGCGGGCGCCTGTTGGTCCAGCTACTCAGGAGGCTGAGGCAGGAAAACGGCATGAACCTGGGAGGCGGAGGTTGCAGTGAGCTGAGATCGCACCATTGCACTCCAGCCTGGGCAGCAAAGTGAGACTCCATCTCAAAAAAAAAAAAGAAAAAGAAAAGTGAAAACAACCCTGAACCCAATTTGAGAAGGCATCTTGCTAATCTTTCAACCCAAACCACACTTGGTAGTCAAGCTAGGTCAGGGCTACTGGCAGGGTCTGATGAGCTAACGTGTAGGAAGCTCTCTACGTGTAGAAAGAAGGACTGAGTGCAATGTCACCTCCACTTGTATATTATCACAATAAACCACTGCCCAGAAGACCCAGCCTGACTTATTTTAGGGTTTCAGCTTATGAAAAACAGCCAGTTCCTGCAGTAAAATTGTGAACACTGAAAAATTTCATTATTGCTTGTTCGTTGAAGGCACTGTTGGCTGACTTTTCTGCAAACTTGGAAATGAATGACAAAACCAATGACCAAATGGAATGAAGATGATTGGGATGAAATGGGCATGAGGACACAGAGGCCAGGGTGCAGCTCAGCCTGAAAGAGTATTTCCTAACCATGGATGGAAAAGAACACTAGAGCAGAGCATTTAAAGGTGACCTTTAAGTTCCTGGATTGATACATAGAATATTCCTAAGGAGGTCCTGCTGGGCGCCTTGGATTTAACTGTGTGGTGCTTCTCAAATGTTATTTTTTATTTTTTATTTTTTTTGAGACGGAGTCTTGCTCTGTTGCCCAGGCTGGAGTGCAGTGGTGCAATCTCAGCTCACCGCAACCTCTGCCTCCTGGGTTCAAGCAATTCTCCTGCCTTAGCCTCCCGAGTAGCTAAGATTATAGGAATGTGCCACTATGCCCAGCTAAATTTTGTGTTTTTAGTAGAGATGGGGTTTTGCCATGTTGGTCAGGCTGGTCTTGAACTCCTGACATCAGGTGATCCGCCCACCTCAGCCTCCCAAAGTGCTGGCGCAAGCTGCAGTGAGAAGAGATCACACCACTGCACTCCAGCCTGGGCAACGGAAGCAAAACTCCATCTCAAAAAAAAAAAAAGAATCAATTCATGGCCCTCCAATCCATTGCCACCATCCTAAACAGTTTCTTATTATCTCTTGCCCAGACCCTGGGCTACTGTATCCATTTTCACCCACCTCATCCAGTCTCCAAACTGCATTGAGAGTGACTTTTTGGTTTTCTTTATTTGAGATGAGCCTCATTCTGTCGCCCAGGCTGGAGCGCAGTGGTGCAATCTCAGCTCACTGCAACCTCCACTTCCTGGGTTCAAGTGATCCTCCTGCCTCAGTCTCCCGAGTAGTTGGGATTACAGGCATGCACTACCATGCCTGGCTAATTTTTGTATTTTTAGTAGAGATAGGGTTTTATCATTTTGGCCAGGCTGGTCTTGAACTCCTGACCTCAGGTGATCCACCTGCCTCGGCCTCCCAAAGTGATGGAATTACAGGCGTGAGCCACTGCGCCTGGCTCAGGTTCTTCTTAAAACTCCAAAGACACTCATTATCCTCAAGAAAAGGCCTAAATTCCTCCCACCTCTCTTTCAAGGCCTTTTATGACCTGGCACCAGCCTACCTCTCCACTCTTCCCACCCCATATTGCCCCAATCACGCTGCCCCCCAACAGACACGTGCATGCACACACTGTCAACCATATTACATCCTGGGCTTCTCTCATAAGAACCCTCTTTGGGCCAGGCGTGGTAGCTCACACCTGTAATCCCAAAACATTGGGAGGCCAAGGCAGGTGGCTCACTTGAGCCTAGGAGTCCGAGACCAGCCTGGGCAACATGAGACCTCATCTCTACAAAAAATAGAAAAATTAGCTAGGCAGGGTGGTGTGCACCTGCAGTCCCAGCTACTCCAGAGGCTAAGATGGGAGGATCACTTGAACCTGGGAGGCAGAGGTTGTCCTGTGAGGTGAGATTGCACCACGGCACTCTAGCCTGGATGACAGAGTGAGACGCTGACTCAAAAAAAGAACCCTCTTCTTTCTCAGACCAATTCCTCTTCCTCCTTAATGCCAGGTCAGTTCTCCTCACTATGGCATGCTTTTTGTAGCTCTTACCACAGCAGTGATTACCTCTTAGTGTCTGGCTTCTTCCTGAGACTGTATCTGCCCTGCCCAGCATTGTCTCCTGCAGCACCTAAAACAGGGCTTGGCATAATACTAGGTGCTGTGTGTGCTGTGGTGTGTGCATTCATTTGATGAATGGATAAATGAATAAATAAATGCACTGTAAATTTCATAATGGGCAAAGGAAAGCTACATAAATATGAGAACACCACAGGGCCATCCCCCAGGACCCATCTCACCTCAGAACAATGGCAATGCACAGGAGCGTTCCGAACGCCAGGCTCCCTCCAGCAACCAGGAATGTGGGCAGTGGTACCGAAGAAGAATCTTGCACTAGGTTAAAAAAAAAAAAATGAAGATAGAGGAGGAAGAGGAGAATATGGAGAAAAAGGACCAGGAGGCGGAGAAGAAAACCACTTAGCTGGTGCTGTCAAAAGCCTCAAAGGAACCTTCCCCTCCAACCCCTCTCCCAGAAAATGAAACGGCTCTGCCAACCAACAGGCCACTTGACAAGCTTCACTGTTTTTTGTTTGTTTGTTTCTTAATAAAGCCCACTCTAGAAGAATCACCCCCAGCTTAATCTGGCAGACCTCAGGATTCCACCATGTGGCAAGAGAGACGCCTCAAGCTCAGGGTTTCTGAGTGCCTGTGGCTGGCCATGGGCTCCTATTCACTTTCAGAGTGGTTTTTCTGGTGGCATTCTACCGGCCCCCATAAGACACAAATTGGGTACAAGAAATGGAAGGCTTTGGGGACCTCCTTGATGGCAGTTCCTTTGAGGACAATGTCAGAGAGGATTGGATGCTTTAAACCAAATATTTGGAAGCAGTTTTCTCCATGCGGGTGTCATCTCTTGCCTGTCCCCGCATTTGGTACTCAAGCCCCAGCCATGGAACATCATTCATTTCTCCAACAAGCCATGATCTTTTTCCTCCAGGGCTCTCCACACACGTTCCCTCTTCTCGCCTGTCTGCTTTCTCCACCTTTGCTGTACACCTTTGCTGTCCAGTCCCTACTTGGCCTTTGGATCTCAGATGAAGTGATGTCCCTTCCTTTGAGAACTGACCCCACTCCAAGCTGAGCAAGCGCCCCTCCCAGTTATTTCTCCAGTTCCACCTCTAGATTGAGTTTCCTGATGGCAGGGACCGCATGTGTCTTTTTCACTGTAACACTGCCAGCAGCTTACACGGTGCCGAATACAAAGTAGGATCTCCAAAATATTTCCTTGAATGAAGGAAAGAACAAACTAGCTTTGCAAGCAGCCATGTCTTCCCACAGAAAGGCTCTTCCTACCAATGCCAGAGTCCCTGGACTGGACAGAGGGCACATCTAAGCAAAACCATCTCCTTCTGCTGGGAATGCAGTCACAGTTGTATGGACCCAGCATTCAGGCTCTTCTACCCAAAATGCAGTCCACTGCTGAAGAAGAGGCTGCCTGCCAGCCATCACTTCAGATGCCTACTGGAGGCAGGCAGTGCAATGAGCCCAGACTGGTGAGTGGGCAGTGGCTGCAAGGACAAGTTTCTCCAAGCGTGTCCCATGTCTCTTGAGAGATGCAGCCATGTAATGAAAGCAGTATGCTTGGCTTGCTTATTTATTAATATTTCATCATCTTTTATATTTGTTCCTTCTTTTTTTTTTTGAAATGGAGTCTCACTCTTGTCACCCAGGCTGGAGTGCAGTGGTGTGATCTCTGCTCACTGCAGCCTCCACCTCCCGGGTTCAAGCAATTCTCCTACCTCAGCCTCCCAAGTACCTGGGACAACAGGCACGCACCACCACGCCTGGCTAATTTTTGTATTTTTTGTAGAGATGGGGTTTTGCCATGTTGCCCAAGCTGGTCTCCAACTCCTGACCTTAGGGGATCCGCCCACCTCGGCCTCCAAAAGTGCTGGGATTACAGGCATGAGCCATGGCACCAAGCCATATATTTGTTCCTTCTTTCATCCAACAAATACTCTTTGAGTGCCTATCATGTGCCTAAATGGATCTTACATCCAATCAAGGAAGACAGACAAACAAATGTTTTTTAAAAAAATTCTCAGGAAAAGGTTCCTGGAGAAGGGTGCAACTGAGCAGAGACTTGAGTGATAGGAAGGAGCTGGCCAAGTGGAAGTCAGAGGAAGCCTGTCCAGGCAGAGCACACAGCAAGTACAAAGGCCCTGAGGTAGAGCATGTGTGGAGGAGCAAGGAGGGCACTGTGGCTGGGGCAGAGCGAGGAAACGGAGAATGGAGAGGCAACGTCTAAAGATAGGGGACCACATGGCTTCGCTGGGACTCCCCGTAGAAACTGGGGACTTTGTCAGGACTTTGACTTATACTCTGGGGGAGATGGCACTGAGCCAGAGAGAGCTTGGATTTGTGTTTTAAGGGACACTCTAGGTGCTGGTTGGAAAAGAGTTGGTTGGGGGTTAAGCCTAGAAGTTGGTAGACCAGTTGGCAGCCCAGGAAATCCTGCTGGATGAGAGGTGGCAGGGGCTGGACTGGGTGTTGGCGCTGGAGATGGTGAGGAGTGGTGAGCTCCTAGATACGTCTCAAAGCACAAGGACAACACTTGCTGAGGGACTGGCCACAGGATGAGGAGTAGGGAGGAAGTGTGCCCAATCCCCCGCATCTGAGCAAATGCGGTACCAGTTATTGAGATCAGGAAGATGGAGAAGAACAGATCTGGGTTGAAGAGGTGGGGAAGTGTCAGGTGTTCTCTTTCAGACATGTTAAATTTGAGAATGCTGGCCAGGCACGGTGGCTCACACCTGTAATCCCAGCACTTTGGGAGACTGAGGCGGGCAGATCACCTGAGGTCGGAAGTTTGAGACCAGCCTGACCAACATGGAGAAACCCTGTTTCTACTAAAAATACAAAATCAGCTGGGCATGGTGGCGCATCCCTGTAATCTCAGCTACTCAGGAGGCTGAGGCAGGAGAATCGCTTGACCCCAGGAGGCAGAGGTTGCGGTGAGCTGAGATCACACCATTGCACTCCAGTCTGGGCAACAAGAGCAAAAATCTATCTTAAAAAAAAAAAAAAAAAAAATATATATATATATATATATTTGAGACTGCTAGCGGATGTCCCATGTGTCAACTAGGCAGTTGGGTACATTAGTCTGGGTCTTAGTGGACAGATCAGGGTAGGGATATAAAATTGGGAGTTGCCAGCCTGTGGATGGTCTTTAGTGACATGAAGCTAGATAAAATCATCAGTGACAGGCTGGGCACAGTGGTTCACACCTGTAATCCCAGCACTTTGGGAGGCCAAGGCGGGTGGATCACAAGGTCAGGAGATTGAGACCATCCCGGCTAACACAGTGAAACCCCATCTCTACTAAAAATACAAATAATTAGCCGGGTGTGGTGGTGGGCGCCTGTAGTGCCAGCTACTCGGGAGGCTGAGGCAGGAGAATGGCATGAAACCGGGAGGCGGAGCTTGCAGTGAGCCGAGATCGTGCCATTGCACTCCAGCCTGAGCGAGACTCCATCTCAGGAAAAAAAAAAAAAAAAAAAAAGACCTCACTAAAGACCATCCATGGGCTGATCTTTAAAGAAAGTTTAAAAAAAAATCATCAGTGAGGGTGGACGGAGAGGACTGGAGGGTCCCCTCCTCCATAGCAGCCTTTGTTTTTGTTGTTGCTGTTGCTTTTGGTTTTTTTTGACATGGAGTCTCACTCTGTGGCCCAGGATAGAGTGCAGTGGCTCAATCTTGGCTCACTGCAACCTCCACCTCCCGGGTTCAAGCGATTCTCCTGCCTCAGCCTCCCAAGTAGCTGGGATTATAGGCACCCACCATCACGCCCGGCTAATTTTTGTATTTTTTAGTAGACATGGGGTTTCACCATGTTGACCAGGCTAGTCTTGAACTCCTGATCTCAGGTGATTCTCCCACCTCAGCCTCCCAAAGTGCTGGGATTACAGGCGTGAGCCACTGCGCCCGGCCCATAGCAATCTTTGAACTCTCAACCTCTTGCATCCCACCCATACCATTCAAAGTCTATTTCAAATGGCACCTCCTCCATGAGCTTTCTGTGACTGCTCAGCTTGATGCACTCTCTCAAATCTCTAAATTCCACTTTGCTTTATCTGTGCCTCCCTTTCCGCCCATCTCACATTCTGGTCTTTGTCACAGTTACCAGTTTACTCTTTGTGGGGGCCTGGACTGTAGCCTCCTTGAGAAGAGGGATGGCTCTAATCCTCTCTGAGTCCCCAGCTGTGCAGAGCTCAGGCCCAGGTATTTAGCAGGTCTTCCACAGGTGCACTGCACCATGGTAGGGCTTGGCAGCTGGGCTGTTGTAGCAGAGGCAGCCAGCATCAGGTGCAGGCAGGAATCCACCCAGGGATGGGGAACGAGGGCAAGGACTGCCTCACAAAGCCCAAGAGTCATCAGCTGGAGCCACTCAACTACTGAACCTCTGGAGTCTGGATTCCATAAGTCCCATACACCTAGTCAAACACAGGACTTGTGATCTTTCTTGATTCAAATACTGGTAAGTTTTCCTGGTCTTGCAGGGATAGGGAATCAGAAGCATTGAAATCAAGAGCTCCCAAAATAAAGATTTCCCTCAACAGGTATTCCATTTCAGACTCCAGTAATCTTGTTTGCAGCACATTCATTTGTATTGTGGGCCAATTGTGAAATATCTCACTGATTTATCCCATTTTTCTTACGGTCTCCTCATTATATCTTAGCTAACAATATCAAACTTCAACATATAAAGTAATAAAAGAGTATTTCTGGCCAGGCACGGTGGCTTGTGCCTGTAATCTCAGCACTTTGGGAGGCCGAGGCAGGCAGATCACGAGGTCAGGAGTTCGAGACCAGCCTGGCCAACACGGTGAAACCCCGTCTCTGCTAAAAATACAAAAATTAGCCGGGCATGGTGGCATGCCCCTGTAATCCCAGCTACTCGGGAGGCTAAGGCAGGAGAATTGCTTGAACTCGGGAAGTGGAGGTTGTGGTGAGCCGAGATCGCACTGCACTCCAGCCTAGGCAACAGAGCAAGACTCTGTCTCAAAAAAAAAAAAAAAAAAAAATTTCTGCCATTGATCCTCTGACGACCTGTCCAAATAAGAAAGGACTTTCCGCAGAGACAAATCTGTCCCACAGACCCCGTGAATATGAAAATACCCAGTCCTTACCTGGGAGGCTTGTCGCATTTGCAGAATCTCTGGAGAGAATATTATCATCATCTTTATTAGTAGTAGGTGCCTAAAAGAGACATTCCTCACCATCAGCCTGTTTCTGCAGATTCCACCACCATTCAGAACCAGTTCAAGAGGTACCTCCTCCTCAGAGCCCTCCCTGATCCGCCCAAAGCATTCCTTTCTCCATTTCATTCGTAACAGTGGAAAAATCAATAATACGATTATTTGCATTTTTTCTATCCACACCGTGTCTGCTAAGGGTGGGGCTTTCTTTGCACCTGCCTCTCCACCAAAAGCTGAAGGGCACAGCACCCTGCACAGAGAAGATGCTCAGTGGATACACTGAAGCAGCTGTTGTCCTTACAGGTCCGATGCAAGGGTGCAGGTACCACTGTGACTGGAATCCTGGCTCCACCACTTACGAGCTATGTCACCTTGGACAGATTTCTTTTTATTTTTTGTTTTTTTGTGAAATGGAGTTTCACAAAAGAAATGGAGATTCTCGTCACCCAAGCTGGAGTGCAATGGCATAATCTCAGCTCACTGCAACCTATGCTTCCCGTGTTCAAGTGATTCTCCAGCCTCAGCCTCCTGAATAGCTGGGATTACATGCACGCGCCACCACGCCCAGCTAATTTTTGTGTTTTTGGTACAGACGAGGTTTCACCATGTTGGTCAGGCTGGTCTGGAACTCCTGACCTCAGGTGATCCACCCGCCTCAGCCTCCCAAAGTGCTGGGATTACAGGAGTGAGCCACTGCGCCCGGCCTCATACTTCTCTCTTTTTTTTTTTTTTCTTTTTTTGAGATGGAGTTTCGTTCTTGTTGCCCAGGCTGGAGTGCAATGGTGCGATCTTGGCTTACCGCACCCTCCGCCTCCAAGGTTCAAGCAATTCTCCTGCCTCAGCCTCCCAAATAGCTGGGATTACAGGCATGTGCCACCACACCCAGCTGATTGTATTTTCAGTAGAGACAGGGTTTCTCCATGTTGGTCAGGCTGGTCTTGAACTCCTCACCTCAGATGATCTGCCCGCCTTGGCCTCCCAAAGTGCTGGGATTACAAGCGTGAGCCCTGGCACCTGGCCCTGGCCTCAGACTTCTTACCCCATGTTAAGCAGCCCTTGCAAGCACTCCCTTGTAACGTTAACATAAGGAGCCAATGAAATAGCAAATGCAAGGCTCACAGTTTAGCAGGATGAGGCCAGTCCTCAGTCGGTGTCAGTTTCCCCAGAACCTGTGTTGGGAGCACTCTAGCCCCATGGGTATGGGCTCCACCTGCAGCTGTTCCTACATGGAACACAGATAAGGTTCAAGAGCCCCAGGCTCCTTCCCTGTGCTGCACAGCTCCAGAAGTGGCTGTGCCTCCCAGCTTAGCATTTAGGGAATTAAGGGCCACAGGAGTAGATATAGTTGGATAGGAAATTGGATTACTCATGGAATTTGTTAAGCAGCTTCAGAGGTAATCCTCTTTCCAGCAAGTTATGACACCAGGACTCCACAGGGGAAGGACTCAGATGAACAGAATCCAATCTCAAGCTAAGCCGTTAGCAGTGTCCAAAAAGCTCAGAGATGAAATAGCTGCCGCTAGATGCAGGGCAGTTCTGCGTGCCAGGCCAACGCTGCTCCACTCTTTACAGTCCCGGGACAAGATAATTTTTATGATTCCCTTTCACAGAGTCTTGAAAAGCACAGATAACTCACCACAGCCACATTTCTACTAAGTGACAGAGCTGGGATTTAAACCAAATTCAGTCTGGCATCCGCCCACACTCCTAACCACTAGGTGCTGCTGCCCTGACCCTTTTACAAGAACAGGAGCTCACCTGCGTGGGGGTGGACACCTCGTTCTCAGCTGGAGGACTCCTGGATTCTGTGGACAGAAGAAACAGTTGTTATTAGTGATTCACGGGCCCCGGAGTCCTGTCTCAGGCGCTTGAAAATCAGAAAAAAGTTCATCTCGGCCGGGCGCGGTGGCTCACGCCTGTAATCCCAGCACTTTGGGAGGCCGAGGCGGGCAGATCACAAGGTCAGGAGATCGAGACCACGGTGAAACCCCGTCTCTACTAAAAATACAAAAAATTAGCCGGGCGCGGTTGTGGGCGCCTGTAGTCCCAGCTACTCGGGAGGCTGAGGCAGGAGAAAGGCGTGAACCCGGGAGGCGGAGCTTGCAGTGAGCCGAGATCGCGCCACTGCACTCCAGCCTGGGCGACAGAGCAAGACTCCGTCTCAAAAAAAAAAAGAAAAGAAAAGAAAAAAGTTCATCTCAATGTTATTTAAAAGAATAGCATGGACTGGGCGCGGTGGCTTATATCTGTAATCCCAGCACTTTGGGAAGCTGGGCGGATCATCTGAGGTCGGGAGTCCCAGACCAGCCTGACCAACATGGAGAAACTCCATCTCTACCGAAAATACAAAATTAGCCGGGTATGCTGGCACATGCCTGTAATCCCAGCTACTCGGGAGGCTGAGGCAGGAGAATCACTTGAACCCGGGAGGCAGAGGTTGCGGTAAGCAGAGATCATGCCATTGCACTCCAGCCTGGGCAACAAGAGTGAAACTCTGTCTCAAAAAAAAAAAAAACCCAGCATGCTGGAGATAACCAAATATCCAACCATAAGGGACTAGTTATAGAAATTATGATATAACTACATAATGCAGAAACCTTTAAAATTTATTTATTTTTATATATATATATATATATATATATATATATTTTTTTTTTTTTTTTGAGATGGAGTTTCACTCTTTCACCCAGGCTGGAGTGAAGTGGCACGATCTTGGCTCACTGCAACCTCCACCTACTGGGTTCAAGTGATTCTTCTGCCTTAGCCTCCCAAGTACTTGGGATTATAGGCGCCCGCCACTACACCCAGCTAATTTTTGTATTTTTAGTAGAGACAGGGTTTCATCATATTCACCAGGCTGGTCTCGAACTCCTGACCTCAGGTGATCTACCCGCTTTGCCTCCCAAAGTGCTCGGATTACAGGCATGAGCTACCGTGCCTGGCCAGTTATTATACATTTTCAGAGACAGGGTCTCCCTCTGTCGCCAGGCTGCAGTGCAATGGCATGACGATGGCTCACTCACTGTAGCTTAACTTCTGGGCTTCAGTGATCCTCCCATCTCAGCTTCCCAAGTGTCTGGGACTACAGCCGTGTGCCACCACGCCCGGCCAAAACTGTTTTAGAAAAACATTGAAGACATGACATAATGCTGTACAAAAAATGCAAGACAAGAAAAATTCCACGTATTTTGATCCAAACTTTCTAAAGAAATATATTTTTATGATTATTTATTGTGTACTACAGTATATATAATAATACTATATATTTGCACACAGGAAGAAAATGGAAAGATACACATCACCAGAGATAAGCACTATTTCAATTTCCTTCTATGCACCTTTTTGCAATAAAAAATATATAACAAACAAATATTCATTTGCCTGTGTGGGTTTAGTACACATTGCAGCAGCAGGGATGTGGACCAGGCACCCTCACGGCTCCCTCCCCCTCCACGGGAACAGTGTGTCTGCAGAAACCCCAAGGCAAGAGGAGGCTAAGCATCCAAGCGAAAGCCCGGGCCTGGGCCTTAACCGTAACAGGCAGTGAGTGGAATGCTCTGGATTTCAAAATATTCTCTTGTCAGCTCATCATTTTTCCATCAAGAATTCTAAAATTCCACAGAATGGTTTATACAAAAATCATGAGCCTCACTGGGCCAGGAGTAAGAAGGACTAGCAAGGAGGCGGGGAGAGGGTGACCCTGCTTCTGCATGGGGGAGGGTTTCCAGAATTCCTGGAATATGCTGTCACCAGTAAGGGGGAAACCACACACCCGAAGCACTAGAGGGAGTATAAGAATGCATCCACTCTTCCCATTGTACAGAGGGGAAACAGAGGCCCAGAGAGGGAAAGCGACTTGTTCAAGGCCGCACAGCAAGTGTGACCAGAATTGAACCTAGAATTTATGGGCGGGACCCAGTTTCTTATTCCTTTGTGTTCTTCCCAGCTCAGTCCAGCCCAGCAGAGAACAGTCATACACTCATAGCCCAGGGTATCTAAAGCATGACCTGAGGGCATGGAGAAGCTAGAATGAAAGCTAAAATCAGAAGACAAAGAAGACGGAGCAGACCGGACTCACACCTGTAATCCCAGCACTTTGGGAGACTGAGGCGGGAGAATCCCTTGAGGCCAGGAGTTTGAGACCAGCCTGGGTAACATAGTCAAACCTTGTCTCTAAAAAAAAAAAAAAAAGAAGAAAACAAGAAGATGGGGCAGCCGTAAATAGAAAATATGGCTTCCCACGGATGCTCATGCGGCCCAGCAGTTTGCCAAACCCAGCCAGAGTCAGTTTCATCTGGAGCCTTGTAGGCTCCACCTTGCTTGTCGCCGCAGAACCATGGAAATGAGACTCAGTCATTAGGGTTTTTTAAAGGCTCCCCATACTATACTCAAGACAGATGCTTCAGGAAGAAAGTTTCTACCCACAGTCCTGACCCCCAACACCGCCTGTGGCCCAGAGAATGCCCAGTAACCTCTGGAGGCTCAGGTTGCTGGGGTTAAAGTGGGAATGAACCACAAAGCCACAGGGAGAGGGGAGGAGAGACCGTGGGACCCACAGGCTCAGCAGCGCCAGGCAGCTCCTCCATGCTGAGCCAGCAGACCCTACTTCACACCTTTCCTCACAGCCTTTCAACCACCCAACAGACAGCTCATCACTGCTCCTCTATTCATACAGAAACAAATACATAAACCTCACTGAGGAGCCTCCCAAGGAGAAATGACTCACCTCCAGCTGGGTCCCAAACGCCACTCGGAATGGTCTGCAGAGAGAAGCCTAGTGGCTTCAGAAAAGGCTGTGTGTACATCTCCACGGTGTCTGGTGCCAAAAGCGCCCCTTGTTCTCAGGTTTCACCCTTTCTCATTTGGGGGGACGGGTGTGGGGGAGCCGTTAAAGCAAGGTCGTTTTTTGTTATTAAGACAGGGTCTGGCTCTGTTGCCCAGGCTGGAGTGCAGTAGTGCAATCATAGGTCATTGCAGCCTCCAACTGCTGGGCTCAGGTGATCCTCCCACCTCAGCCTCCCACTTAGCTAGGACTACAGGTATGCACTGCTATGCCCGACTAATTTTTTTTAAACTTTTTTTTTTTTTTTTTGTAAAGACAGGGTCTCCTTATGGTAGCTGGCTGGTCTCTATCTCCTGGGCTCAGGCAATCCTCCCCCCTCAGCGTCCTAAAGTGCTGGGATTATAGGCCTGAGCCACCACGCCCAACCAAGCATCTTTTCTTTTAAGAAATTATGGTGATGGTTGGCCAGGCGCAGTGGCTCACGCCTGTAATCCCAGCACTTTGGGAGGCCGAGGCGGGCGGATCACGAGGTCAGGAGATGGAGACCATCCTGGCGAACACGGCGAAACCCCATCTCTACTAAAAACACAAAAAAATTAGCCGGGCATGGTGGCGGGTGCCTGTAGTCCCAGCTTCTAGGGAGCCTGAGGCAGGAGAATGGCGTGAACCCAGGAGGCGGCGGAGCTTGCAGTGAGCAGAGATGGCGCCACTGCACTCCAGCCTGGGCGACAGAGCGAGACTCTGTCTCTAAAAAAAAAAAAAAAGCTGGCAACCTTAATTGGTCCCCAGAATTGTTTTTGAAATTTTATAGACCCGTAAAATCCCAATGTTTAGGAATCGCCCAGTTGTGCACAGGGATGTCAGGTGGGTAGGCAAGGGGAGGATGCGGGAGGAGGGGTCGTGGAGAGAGGCAGGAAGAGTGGAGTGCACCAGGACGGCTGACTGCTAGATACTACTGAGATGTGGTGAGAATCCAAACCAAGGCAGAGACGTTTGGCGTGATGTGCAAGCTCCTGGCTGGGTGGCTGGGTGGGTGGCGTGTCTGTCCCCTGGACAAGCAGGACAGGAAGGTCTGTGAGGGGTGTGATATGTTTGGTTTGGGTCATGCTGAGCACCTGGCACAGGAGGGAGGATCTGGCCAGAAGTCTGGGCCGAGTTGAAGACATGAATCCAGAGCTCGAGAGACAGGCTTGGCAGGAGACACGGGTGAAAGGCAGTCCTGCTGGCATTTATTGCACCCTTGTCATGTGCCAGGCTCTGTGCTAATTGCTTCTCACCTCATTGAAGACTCACAACCCAGCAAGGCTGGGGTTCGGGTTTTTTGAGGCAGGCATTACTATTCCCACTTGACAAATAAGCTAACTGAGTCTCAGTGAGGTACTTCCCCAGGGTCGTGCTGGTCAAGGGCAAGGGCAGCAACTACACCGAATGCTACCTGACTCCAGAGTCAGTGCTCTGCACAAAGTGGCAGGTGATGCAGTAGAAGTGGCGGGGCCCCCAGTGGAATGTTCCAGAAAGCTGCAGAAAACAGGGCCGAGAGGGAATTCGGGGATGCCACATGGAGAAGTGAACAGGGCAAAATCTCTCCAGAAATGTGTAACCAAGGCTCTGTAACCCCAGAATGTCCCACTTGGGAGTGCTGCAGAGAGGAACAAAACAAACTCCTCCAGAATGGACCGCCAAAGAGTTTGAGAAGATAATATATAGCTGGAGGGACCGACTGCTCAGTCCTGGCTTCAGGGCACCCTCTCATGTGCAAATGCAAACCTTTGGCAGTACCTCCTCCAACAGGTGTGATTCCCATTCTTGGGGAATAAAGGAGGGAGTTAAAGGGATGTGTGAGGAGCAAGGAATAATCCCCTTGTGCCTAATGGGCTTTTCCCAGGCATTTTGCCCCATGCCCTCTTTGAAAAGGGGCTCCAGCCTGGCTCAGTGGCTCATGGCTATAAATCCCAGAGCTTTGGGAGGCCAAGGCAGGAGGATCACTCAAGGCCTGTGCAACATAGGGTGACCTCATCTCTGTAAAATATTTTTTAAAAAATTAGCCGGGCATCGTGATGCATGCCTATAGTGCTAGCTACTCAGAGGCTGAGGCAGCAGTTCAAGGCTGGAGTGAGCTATGATTACGCCACTGCACTCCGGCTTGGGCAACAGAGTGAGATCCCATCTCTTAAAAAAAAAAAAAAAAGAAAAGAAAAGAAAAAAAAAAAGAAGAATATGATTTTGTGGTTCCCCCAGACTCAGTGTTGATGTGACAGGCAGAACTCCCATCAGGGGAGGATAAATTCAGAACTCCCGCTTGAGAGAAAGCCGCCAACCACGCGCCCTGTCCACGGGTACCAGCCTGCACAATTTCCATGAGCCGCCGCTGCAGGTGCTGACAGACGTGACCTGGCCTTGCTGGCCAAAGCAGGGCTACGACAGAGTGACTCTGGGACCCCCAACTTCATGCAAAAGGCTGTCCTGGGCTACAGTCTGTGCTGGGGCCAAGCCCCAGCCTCAAGGGTACCTTCAGCACCTGCTGAAGTCCAGGCTCCAGAGCCCCCCTCTATGGCATTCCACTTCCACTCCTACAGGGGCCCACCAAGGCGGCCTCCACCTGTCCCACTCAGACCACCCACCCACACATGTGTCAGCCTCACCAAGCAGCTCCCTGCCACCCTCCCCTTGCTCACAGTTCCGTGCCTTTGTACCTGCTGTTCCCTCTGCCTACAATCCCCATTTTCTATCTGGGACCCTCCTACACATCCTTTAAGACACAATTCAATTGTCACCTCCTCCATGAAGCTTTTCCTGCTATCTCTAAACCGCCCCAACAGAACAGTCTGCTTATAGCCTTATCGTGCTGTAAGCACCATCTATTACATATTAGATATACTACGGTGGGGCATGCGCCCTCCTCCAGCCCCCTCAAGCACATACTAAAACCACCAGGAAAGTTTTCTCAAACCGCCCACTCCATTTCCTCCTCCAGACTCTAACGCAGTGAGTTCAGGATGGCCTCCAGGATACTGATTCTGGGATGCCTCTGGTCCCACTCTCCTCCTCCCAAGCAGCAGCACTGTCCTGTAATTGCTGATCCCCTTACATGTGCAGTATGCTTTAGCATTTCTAAAGAATATTTTTTCATCAGACTCACAAAAACTCTCTGAAAGGAACAAGATTGGTGCTATCATCCCTACTTTACAGATGACAAGACTGAGGCTCTGAGAGCTGAACTAACTTTACCAAGGTCATACAACCTGACTCCCAGGTGCTTCCCAGGACCTCTGTGTCTCCCAAAGGCCACCACTCCCACACCTAGGCTGGGAGGCAGGTGCATCCTGTCTGTCTGGGCCTTGAGAGCTGAAGGTCCTTGGGGTGGGTAAGCTCACCCCACACGGTGATACAGTGTCTAGTACACTGACGCATCCCTAACAGCCTAATAACTGTGGTCCATAACAAACACCTCACCTAGTGTTCTAACCTTCCTCTTATTTTTCAGAACTGTCTGCCAGTTTCCAACCTGAATCCCCCTCTTGCATCAGAATCATCCAAGTTCCTCTTGCTCGCCCTCAGCAGAGAGGGGAGCAGCAGGTTTCTTTCTTGGATATATTCACCACTGGGTTTTGAAGACTTCCCCTGCCTCAAACCACATATGTATAGGGTGGAGGGCTCAAATTCTTCCGCTCCTTATGTGAGAAGAAACCAACTGTTCTGTCTGAGCTCCCACAGAAGCTGTGTGCATGCCACAGAAGTATGTCCACCCGAGGCTGGAAAGTGAAGGCCATACCCAGTGCTGGCCAGACAGCCCCCACCACACCATCTTCCAAGAGAGGGAGGGTGTCAGCAACTTAAAGAGGGACATCCACAAATGAGACCAGATTCAGAGGAAGGGAGCCAGACAGGTAAAGAATTCACAGACCATCCCATATAACAGCCTGGGAAGAGGAGCCCAAGCAGATGCAAGTCTGGGAACTCCAAAAGAATTCAGAGAGAGCAGACTAGGAAATTTGTCATCGGTTATCCCTGAGGACAGAGCAAGGGCCAGTGAGGCCAGAGTTAGGTTCACATAAGAAAGAACTTTCTATTTAAATAGATATTTCTCCAAAGATACATGAATGGCCAAGAAGCACATGAAAAGATGCTCAGCCTGGGCGTGGTGGCTCACGCCTGTAATACCAGTACTTTGAGAGGCCTAGACGGATGGCTCACTTGAGGTCAGGAGTTGAGAGCAGCCTCGCCAACACGGCAAAACCCCATCTCTGCTAAAAATACAAAATTTAGCTGGGTGTGGTGGTGCACGCCAATCCCAACTACTCGGGAAGCTGAGGCATGAAAATCACTTGAACCCAGGAGGTGGAGGTTGCAGTGAGCCAAGATCACCCCACTGCACTCCAGACTGGGTGACAGAGTGAGACTCTGTCTCAAAAAAGACATTAATCATTAGGGAAATGCAAATCAAAACCACAATGAGATAACACTTCACATCCACAAGGAGGACTATTGCAGCAAAATGAAAAATAACAAGTGTTGGCAAGGATGTGGAGAAATTGGAATCCATATACACTCTGGTATAAGTGTAAAATGGTGCAGCCACTGTGGAAAACGGCATGGCATTTCCATGAAAATTTAAAATTAGAATTACCATATGATACCACAAATATACTTCTGAGTATATACACACAAAAGAACTGAAAGCAGGAATCTAAACAGATATTTCACAGCCACATTTATAGCAGCATTATGCACAACAACCAAAATGGGGAAGCAAACCCAGTGTCCCCTGACGAACGAATGAATCAACAAAGTATGGTGTCTCTACACAATGGAATAGTATTCAGCCTTAAAAAGGGAGGAAAGTCTGACACATGTTATAACATGAATAAATCTTGAAGATACTATGCTAAGTGAAGTAAGTCAGTAACCAAAAGACAAATACTCTCTGATTCCACTTATTTGAAGTACCTGGAGTGCAGCCTGGGCAACATGGTGAAACCTTGTCTCTATAAAAAATACAAAAATTAGCCAGGCATGGTGGTGCATACCTGTAGTCCCAGCTATTTGGGAGGCTGAGGTGGGAGGATTTCTTGAGCCCAGGAGGTCAAGGCTGCAGTGAGCATGATCGCACACCACTGCACCCCAGCCTGGGTGGTAGAGGGAGAACCTATCTCAAAAAAAAAAAAAAGAAAAGAAAAGAAAAAAGAAAGAAAAAGAGAGAGGGAGAGGGCCAGGCGCAGTGGCTCACGCTTGTAATCTCAGCACTTTGACGAATCACTTGAGGTCAGGAATTCAAGACCGGCCTGGCCAACATGGTGAAACCCCATCTCTACTAAAAATAAAAAAATTAGCCAGGCGTAGTGGCAGATGCTTGTAATCCCAGCTACTCAGGAGTCTGAGGCTGGAGAATTGCTTGAACCCGGGAGGCAGAGGTTGCAGTGAGCCAAGATCACGACAGTGCACTCCAGCCTGGGTGGGCGACAGAGTGAGACTCAGTCTCAAAAAGAAAAAAAAAAAAAAAAAAAAAGAGAGAGAGAGAGAGAGAAAAAGAGACAAAGGCAGGTAGGCAGGCAGGCATGCATGCAAGCAAACAGTCAAGCAAATGAAGTACCTAGAGTAGTCAAACTCACAGAGAAAGCAAGTAGAATGGTGGTTGCCATGAGCTGGGGGAAGGAGTGGGTGAAAGGAGAGTTACTGTTTAACAGATTCTGAGTTTCAATTTTACAAGATGAAAAAAGTCCTGGAGAAGTAAAGTGGTGATGGTTGCACAACGATACTTAATGCCACAGAGCTGTACACTTAAAAATAACATAAATGGGCAGGGCGCGGTGGCTCATGCTGTAATCTCAGCACTTTGGGAGGCTGAGGTTGGTGAATCACCTGAGGTCAGGGGTTCAAGACCAGCCTGACCAATATGGTGAAACCTCATCTCCACTAAAAATACAAAAATTAGCCAGGCACGGTGGCAGGTGCCTGTAGTCCCAGCTACTCAGGACGCTGGGATAGGAGAATTGCTTGAACCCGGGAGGTGGAGGTTGCATTGAGCTGAGATCACGCCACTGCACTCTAGCCTGGGTGACAGAGCAAGACTCCATCTCAAAAAATAATAATAATAATATAAATGGTAAATATTATATTATATATATTTTACAATTTGAAAATTTTTAGACGAGGAAACTTTCTAACAAAATGAGATTGCTTCAAGCTGCTTATGACTATCTAAACTAAGCGGCTGGAATAAAAGGTAAAATAGGGGTCAGCCTATATCTGGAATTCCTATTCCTCTGCATGATGTTAGAGCTGATTTCCGCCCCCCACCTTAAAAAGGCCCCCAAAGCCATACTGATGCTCAGCATTCAGATAAGTCAGTGTATTTGGCTCAAAGTATACACAAATCAAAGAAAACCATGGACAGGTCAATATGATCTACCCTGAAGGATGCACTGATTTATTAAAATGGTCTAAGATATAGTAGTTAGGCCCCACTCCTTGTCCAGGCCTGAGCAGGAAAAAAGCTTTTGAGGAGAGGGCCCAATAGAAAGCTGCCTCCTGTTCTTGATGAACAGGGAAAGTGCCAACAAAGATGGAAGCTTGTACTTGATATTACTGCATCCAACTAGGATTACATCCTAAGCCCCAGCCTACTCCTCTGGCTCTCCCCAGGACAGGAAAGACAAGGGACAAGGACCCCACAGAACAAAGCCAGCCAGGAGGCACAGCCATCACCCCACACCATCCAATCTGGCAGAAGAATGTGCAGCTGACAGATGAAAGCCTTCTCTCCCTGGGGCCAGGGCTGGGAGAAAGTGGCAGGGGTAGGGATGGGACTGATGTCAATTCTGCCTTTTCCTTTGTATCCATACTTACTCAAATACATGGGTATCTTATTCTTTTTTTTTTTTTTCCTAACTGCGAGTTATTTAAGAATGATTAATTTGATTCAACTATGCCACAGGGCTAGAAACATTTGACCCCAAAGTGAGCCAGGAGGCCATTCTACAACAAAAACACTGGGAAAAATAAAACAGATTGCTACAAGAGGTAGTAAGCTCTCTGGCTCTGGAAGCATTCAAGCAGAGGCTGGCTGACCACTGTCTGGGTTGTGGTCAGGGAGATTCCTGCATTCTAGGTCTGCTTAATCCTAACCTTTCATAGCAGGGTGTTGATAGATAATGTCTCAAGTGGTTTTATCGGGAAAAGAAAAAAAAGCCATATAAGCTTGTTGTTTAGAGTTAAAGAGGGCACCAACAGAGGAACTAGAAACAGAAAGAGTCAAGCAACTTCCTTAGAAAGCAGGACTAGAAATGGAAGGCATGGGACAAGGGACCACTGCTCAGTGTTATAAGCTGTTTATTACTTCTTTGCCACGTGCATGTATTAATTTGATTACAATTTTAAAAGTTTAGGCCAGGCGTGGTGGCTCACACCTGTAATCCCAGCACTTTAGGAGGCTGAGACGGGTGGATCACGAGGTCAGGAGTTCAAGAGCAGCCTGGCCAAAATAGTGAAACCCCATCTCTACTAAAAAATACAAAAATTAGCTGGGCGTGGTAGCGTGCGCTTATAGTCCCAGTTACTCGGGAGGCTGAGGCAGGAGAATGGTGTGAACCCGGGAGGCAGAGTTTGCAGTGAGCCGAGATCACGTCACTGCACTCCAGCCTGGGTGACAGAGCGAGACTCCGTCTCAAAAAAAAAAAAAAAAATTTTTTTTTTTTTAAGTTTAGCCAGGTGCGGTGGCTCACACCAGTAATCCCAGCACTTTGGGAGTCTGAGGCTGGTGGATTGCTTGAGGCCAAGAGTTCAAGACCAGCCTGGGCAACATGGTGAAACTCTGTCTCTACAAAAAAATTTTTTAAAATTAGCCAGGCATGGTGGCACATGCCTGTGGTCCCAGCTACTTAGGAGACTGAGGCAGGAGGATTGCTTGAACTCAGGAGGCAGAGGTTGCAGTGACCTGCGATTACACTGCTGTACTCCATCCTGGGTAACAAGGAGAAACCCTGTCTCCAAAAAAAAAAAAAAAATTTAAGTTTAAAAAAATTTCCATGGGGTTTTTAAAAATATATACTGATGATGGAGTTACTAAGTTTCCAAAAGTAACTGACAACATGGGGAATATCACGTTTATACATATAAATACACACAGACACATACATGTACCTAGAAAAAGGAAAGCAGCATACTAACATGATCTCACTGGTTTTCTCTAGGGAGTAAAACTACTGGTGATAATTATTCTTCATATTTTTCTGGAATTTTTCATGTTCTACAACAAACATGCTAATTTCAACAGTCCTCAAATGGCAATTATTATTACCTTTAACATTTGAAAAAAATAAAAAGCATGAGTGACTGCCCTAGATTAAATATGGCTAACTTCGCATCCCTCCAGCAGTGGCGGGATCCCCACCCACCTGCCCTGAGTCTGGGCTGGTAGCTGAGGATGAGAAGCCACAGGGAGAACCAAGGGCCCCGGCCACCAGCCAGCACCATCGTCAGACATGTGACCAAGGCCACCTCAGACCATCCCAATCTGATGGCAGCTGCATTCCTGATTCAGGCAAGACCAGCAGAAAAGCTGCCTAACTGACTGTATTTTTGGAATCTCAAGCAGATAAATGATTGCTGTTTTAAGCTGCTAGCTGTTTATTTCTTTTGAGACAGAGTTTCGTTCCTGTCGTCCAGGCTGGAGTGCAATGGTGTGATTTCGGCTCACTGCAACCTCTGCCTCCCGGGTTCAAGAGATTCTCCTGCCTTAGCCTCCTGAGTAGCTGGGATTATAGGCAACCGCCACCATGTCCAGCTAATTTTTTGTACTTTTAGTAGAGACGGGGGTTTCACCACATTGGCCAGGCTGGTCTCGAAATCCTGACCTCAGGCAATCCACCCGCCTCAGCCTCCCTCCCAAAATGCTGGGATTACCAGTGTGAGCCACCGCACCTGGCCTAAGCCACTAGTTTTGAGGCGACTTGTCACATAGCAATGGATATCTGGTGCAATAACAGTTGAAACATCCCTTCCTTCCTCAGTGCCCACCCCAGTACCTGTCCAAGGCGTGCCCATGGCCTCCGGGCTCCACTCGCTCCACTCGCCTTGCCCGAACTCCTCCTGGGCACGAAGCTGCACCACGTGCCTCAGGCCGCTCCAGGCGTCGTGGATGACACAGTGATGCTGGAGGTCCTTGACCTGAGGGCGGGGGCACAGTGACTGGGGAGGGGTCCAGGGTGGTGCTGGGCAGGCATCTCCCCAGTGGGTTGGTGCCTTGACCAGCCCTGTGCTTCAGCTGGCAGAGGCCTCTAGAGGCTCCCACCACCCCGGAGGCTCCACTAGCGAGGGGTTGCCCTCAGGGCCCACGGGAGCTGAATCAGAAAGTCCCTGCCCCACCCATGCACTACAGAATCCTGCAAGCCACAATGCTTGACATGTTTATAGCCCAAATCCCTTCCCACATTGCTCTCCTCACAGGCAAGCCTGGGAAGAGGAGACTGGCCTAGCATTATCCTTCTCATTTAATAAATGATATATCACCAAGGCTCAGAAAGCTTAAAACATTTATCCAAAGCAACGAAGGTAGCCAATTTTGAAGCAGGACCTAGAGCCTATGGTTTTCTTTTTAGTACTCTTTCTTTCTTTCTTTCTCTCTTTTTGAGATGGAGTCTCACTCTGTCACCCAGGCTGGAGTGCAGTGGTGTGATCTCCACTCACCGCAACCTCCACCTCCCAGGTTCAAGGGATTCTCCTGTCTCAGCCCCCGAGTGGCTGGGATTACAGGCGTGCACCACCACGCCTGGCTATTTTTCGTAATTTTAGTAGAGATGGCATTTCACCATGTTGGCCAGGCTGGTCTCCAACTCCTGACCTCGCATGATCCGCCCACCTTGGCCTCCCAAAGTGCTGGGATTACAGGCGTGAGCCACCATGCCTGGCCTCTAGTATCCTTTCTACTATGCCTAAGCATCTGGGGGCACCTCTCTGACCAGAAGTAAAACATAAATTTACCATCCATGTTGTGAATGTCTTTGACCGTTCAGCTCGATATCTGAGCTCAAACCGTAGTCTGTAGAAAGATGAGTTCCAGGAGTGGGGGTCTTGCCAGGTGACACTGAGCCAGCGGGGGTTTCTGGCCACGGCAGTGACTGTGATGTTGGCAGGCGGATCAGGCTGCACTGTGGGAAAAGGGAGCATGGTTCCTATGCAGCAGCAAATATAGTGTAGAGAAGCTCATGTAGGCTGAGTTCCCAGCAGGCAGGGCCCCACCCAGCCCCGTTCACTCCCCAGGCACAGCTCCACAAGGGCCTGCTTCATCATTGCCACACCTCCCCGCAAGCAACGCCCAAAAGCCACCAACTCACCAAATCCCTCAACCACCCCTTCCCTGCCCCTCTGAGAAGTCGATAAGAAGGATTAAATCAAAAATGAAGGAAACTGCTGGAGAGGGGGAAGAGCTTACGTACAGATTCCACAACCCTGAAAGGTCTGAGTTTTGCTGAGCTTGCTCCCGACACTACTGGCGACGCACATGGACACTATGTAGAAAGAGCTGTCTCCCTCCGGGACTGCCAACTGGCAGGAGAACTTCTGGGACTCCTGGGAATACTGGCACGGCTCCTGGAAGTCTTCGGCCGGACTGTTCTGACTGTTAGACACAAAACAAGGGCAGGGCTCGCCTGTCAGTTTCACATAGACTCAAGAGCGGAGAGAAGGGGGAAATGGAATCCCGGGGTTTGAATCCCAGCTCCAGACTCATGAGCCCTGTATCTCTAAGTCTTCTTTTCTCATTTACAACCAGGAATATTAATACTACCTATCTCGTAGGGGTTCTGTTAAGATTATTATTATTATTTTTTTTTGAGATGGAGTCTCACTGTGTCGCCCAGGCTGGTGTACAGTGGTGCAATCTCGGCTCACTGCAACCTCTGCCTCCAGGTTCAAGAGATTCTCCTGCCTCAGCCTACCGAGTGTGCCCGGCTAATTTTTGTGTTTTTAATAGAGATGAGGTTTCACCATGTTGCCCAGGCTGTTGGCAACATGTTGCACCACGTAAGCCATCATGCCTGGCTGGTTCTGTTAAGACTGAAAAATAAGGGCTGGGCGCGGTGGCTCATGCCTGTAATTCCAGCACTTTGGGAGGGCAAGGAGAGCAGATCATGAGGTCAGGAGTTCGAGACCAACCTGGCCAATACAGTGAAACCCTGTGTCTACTAAAAAAAAAAAAAAAAAAAATTAGCCTGGCTTGGTGGCACATGCCTGTCCCAGTTACTCGGGAGGCTGAGGCAGAAGAATCACATGAACCCAGGAGGCAGAGGTTGCAGTGAGCAGAGATCGCGCCACTGCACTCCAGCCTGGGCGACAGAGTGAGACTCCATCTCAAAAAAAAAAAAAAAAAAAAAAAGAGCAATAAATGTAAAATCTACAGATGAGGAAGCTAGCTGGATTTATAAATATATATAAACATGTAGCCTAGCGCCTGGCACGAAGGGTGAGGGGAGCTAGGCTGGAGGGCTCAGCCAATCACTCAGGCCTTGGTGGGCTGGCCAGCTCTGGTCTCCCCCTGGGCCTGTGCTCTTGGCACTGTAGGGGATGTAGAAATGAATCGAGAGGCCCCACCCTGGCTTTAATTAGGCACTAACAAAAAAGACCTGTCCTCAGATGACTAGACACCCAGCAGAAACGCCACTCCAGAGACTCAAAAAGTGCTAGAGGGGTTCTGGCAGGTGAGTCCAGAAAAGAATTCTGGGTGACTGAAGACGTTCGAGGTGAGTCAGTCACCATCCCACCTGGCCTGGAAACCTAAGGTTTCACCCTTTTATGACACATGTGGGGATATGAGGCCACGTCAGCCACTCACCATCTGGCTGGGGTGATGAGTCTGCCATCTCTGACTTGGGTTCGAACCCTGGGCTCCTGCTGAGTCCAGCACATGGGACAAACCCAACCTTTCCAGGATGAGTTAAAGCCCCCTTTCTCCTCCCCCCAACACCACCCAGGCTTCCACCCAGCCACAAAGGCAGGGTCACCGACTGCTTTACGTGTGTGCCCAGGCGGGGTCAGAGGGCCGGGGCTCAGTCTTGTTGGCCTGCGTCTCTCCCACTGCCCCAGCATCACGCCTGGTCCAAGGCAGAGGCTGAACTCGCCCATGCCTGCGGAAGAAGGAGTGAATGGTGCTGCAATTGGGCCAGGGTATGAAAGCAGACACACAAGAGAAAAAAGCAGAGAAAAAGCAGAGCTCCCAGTAATCCCTTTCCAGGGGCCTGTCTCTTCCAGGCCCTGCAGTGGCCTGAGGTCCGGGTGGGGCCTCAGTGGGGGCTGGGGCCCCTGAGGCTCTCGCAGCTACTTCCCCTGCTCTTTCCTCACTTCAAAGGTGCCCAGTGGCCATGCTGACTTTTCAAAGCAGATGGAAGCAAAGGCTCGAGGCTGCTCAGGAGGAGGACAAGCACTGCAACACGGACACCGCACTCTCTCCCACTCCTGCTGTCAACATGGAAAGTATTCCAGTCAAGCCGGGCGCGGTGGCTCACGCCTGTAATCCCAGCACTTTGGGAGGCCGAGATAGGTGGATCACCCTAGGTCAGGAGACCAGCCCAGCTAACATGGTGAAACCCCATCTCTACTAAAAATACAAAGATTAGCCGGGCGTGGTGGCGTGTGCCTGTAATCTCAGCTACTCAGGAGGCTGAGGCTGGAGAATCGCTTGAGCCCAGGAGGCGGAGGTTGCAGTGGGCCGAGATCATGCCACTGCACTCCAGCCTGGGCGACAGAGCGAAACTCCATCTCAAAAAAAAAAAAAAAAGTATTTCATTTGAAGTGTCAGACGTGACAGAGATTTCCACAGGCTGGCCTGGGAAGTTGCCAGCCACCGTCTCTATCCTGCCTATTCCTGTCTATGGTACAAGCCTTTGAGGTACAAACAAGGCGTATCCTTCGCTGGACTGTGAAGCTACCCAGGCTTGGGGCATGAGCTGACAGTGCTGATGGCAGCTGCATCACTCACAGATGGGTAATCCGCACTTTTCATCATAGAGGACAGAACAAAAATAAGCCTGCTGGGCAGCCCAGTAACTCTGTGGAAACAGACCCAAGTGGGAGCCGAACCACCCTGCTGTCACTGCTCTGGCTTTCTGATGCAGTAGTCCTGCCTTATCTGAGGTTTTGCTTTCCAAGATTTCGGTTACCTGTGGTCAACTGCGGTCCAAAAATATTAAATGGAAAATTCCAGAAATAAGCACTTCGGAAGTTTTAAACTGCCCTCTGTTCTGAGAAGTGTGATGAGATTTCATGCCGTCCCGCCCAGGACGTGAATCATCGCTTTGTTCAGCATTCCCGCGCTGTACATGCTACTCGTCGCTCGTCCTGACATCCACCGCCATCATCATGGCTCGGTGATCCAGAGTCACCCAAAACAGGTGATCCTCCTTCTGACACATGGTCAGAAAGTCCTAGTAGCCTAACACCAAGTCACAATGCCTACATCATTCACCTCACTTCATCCCATCATGCAGGCATTTCACGACCTCACATCATCACAAGAAGGGTGAGTACAGTAATAAGAGATTTTGAGAGAGAGACCACATTCGCATAACTGTTATTACAGTATATTATTATCATTGTTCTATGCTATTATTAATTATTAACTTCTTACTGTACCTAACTTATAAATTAAACTATCATAAGTACATATCTATAGAAAAACATAGTATATATAGAGTTCAGCACCATTTGCAATTTCAGGCATCCACTAGGGGTCTTGGAATGTGTCCTCCTTGCCACTGTAGTCTGATGACTGATAGCTCAAAATCAATTGCAAACCTCTGGACTGGGGAGACGGTGGCTCTGGGATGGAGACCGGCAAAACCGCAGAGGCAGATTTGTTTTCAGCATCTTCTACCTCCTCTACATGCATGCCTGAACCCATCCCAAGTCTTCCCACGTTAAGCCGTCTTCCTGTGATGATGCAGGGACCCTCAGGCACCCTCAGGCAGGCGTGACTTCTTGCCCCATGGCCCCTAGCTCCCTCTCCACTGCCCATCACCGCTTTCTCTCTCATGCCTTTATCATGGAAATAGCCTGATATGCCCACAAGGGCCCAGACACTGATAAGAGGCTGGCTGTGCTACCCTCTCCTAGGGACATTTGCATGTTTTTCAGAGCAACCTTCGGACTTTGAGTGAAATCAGACAGACTGGGACTGAATTCTCAGCAGAACCACTTACTAGTTAAGTGACCCAAACCCATTAATCAGTCTCTGGGCCTCAGTGTCTCCATCTGTTAAGTGAGAAAAATAACGCCCACTTCCCATAGCTGTTGTGATAACAGTGAATAGGACAAGATTGCAAGCACAAGCACAGTGCCTAGCTCAGGGGGGCAGTCAAATGTAAATCTCAGTTTCCTCTCATCTCCTCTTCCTCAGCCTGAAGGAATTACTTCCTAATGATAACGTTTTGAAATCACCTGAACCAGCCCCTCTCTGGGGGCCTCGGAAAGGAGGGAGCCGACGTGCACCCAGCTCAGCCCAAGATACTTACAACTTCCTCACCAACAGCACAGCCTTGGTCGTCGGAGATGGGGTGCTCCGAGGACCCCACTCACAAACAACGTTGCTGAGGGGGCTCTTCCGGAAGCAGGAGAGCTGGGGCTCCTCGGGGGGAACTGAAAAGAGAGCATCACAGGTGTGAGCAGGCCGGCGGGGATCCTAGGGTACACCCAACCTCGCAGGCAGGGCAGCCTCCCTTGAAGGGAACGCATGGCTAGGGGCCAGTCCTGGGGCCAGTCAGGACCAGACACCATGGCCACACTTCGCCACACACGAATGGAATCGCAGCTTGGAAATTAAAGGCTACCAAAGACCTCATGTCAGTCTGGGACACGCATCCGGGACAGGGGAAGGGAAGCACCTCAGGGCCAACTTGTCTGAAGAGGAGATAGGATGATCGAAAAAAAAGTGCTTTGGAGTCACACAGACCTGGCTATGTGGCCTTGGGCAAGTCGTAGCCACTCTTCAGTTTCCTCATGTATAAAATAAACTGATGATAATGTAATGATGATGGCAATGATGATAAGCCTGCTTTCTCTGACAAGGCTGCTGAAGGATTACAAGAGATAGAAGAAAGTGCCTTGGCATAGGGCTTGGCACACAGGACACTGGTTCCAGCAAGTCTTTATCTACGTGTGAGGGAGCTAAGAACTTGCTAATTCTAAAAAAAATAAGAATAGCTAATTTGAGAGCTTAGGATGTGCTATACAGACTTTTTAGCACCATATGTGTATGATACACACATACACACACACACAGGCAAATTCACATATACCCCCTTTGCAACAACTCTAAGGTAAGGTAATAAAATTAACCTTATTTTGCCAAAGATGACACTGAGGGGCGGAGAAGTTAAGCTGTATGTGAAGGAGCAGGATTTAAACCCAGGCTGCCTGACTCCGGGCCCCAGGCTATTCACCAGTTCACAGGAAGTCCTAACTCCCAAAGCCAATGTTTCCCATCAGTCAGACGCTCCCACCCAGCAGCTGTCTTTGCCGGCATCTGGGTGGCAGACATTGGTGGGCTTTCCCCAAAATTCTTGCACCAAGGAAACGGCGGGAGTTTGAAGGCTCAGACAGGGACTGTCTGGAATGCACAGAGCCTCATTTCTTATGAGAACTATCTCCAGGAGCTCTGAGGCACAACTCACCATCCACCAGCAAGTGCACAGTTCCAGCCGGGCGGCCGGCCCGGTAGCATGAATAGTTTCCAGAGTCATGGAGCTGCACCGACCTCAGCAGCAGCCTCCTTCCCACGCCAGCCCATCTGCTGAGGTGGGAGCCTACAGCTGGCTTCCTGAGAACCCAGTGAACAGTGGCATTGTCTTCCGGCTCTCCCCCTGGGCAGGTCAGAGTCACGCTGTCTCCTGGCAGACTGGTCAGCACACCTCTCGCCACCTCTGGAAGAGGGAGAAAACACTCGGTGAGCCCATAGCCACTGAAGAAGGGGCTTCGTTCTGGTCTGAGGAAGCCACGAGAGGCCTCAGTGATAATCATGAAGTGGTCCAGGCTACCGTCACCTCTGCCTGGATTAGGGCAGCAGTCTCCTGGTGGCCTCCCCAACCTGGTCCTCACCATCCAGCTGCCTGGGAGAGCCTTCTGAAGCTACAATCCAGCCGCCCCACTCCCTGGATTAGAAAACCCTTCAAGGGCCTGCCACCATCCACAGGATGAGGTCCGAGCTCCTCAGCGTGGCCCGCAGGGCCCTGCCGTCCTTGGAGGTCTCATCTCTCCCCACTCCTTAGAAGGTGTGGAGCTCTCCCCTCAGCTCCCGTAGCTCTCCTCCTCACTCGTTCTTCACACATCATCCCCTCGACAATTCCTCCTTTTCCAGGTCTTGGCCTAAATATCGTTTCCGGTCCCTCAGCTGCACTAGGCCCTCATTCTGCACTACGTCGCCCACACGCTGCCATGTAATTACCAATTCCGTGTCTCCCTTTCCCTCAAGACTCCAAGCACCACAGGAATAGGCACCCTGCTCTGTTGTTCTCTGTTACATTCCAGTGCCCGGGACGTTGCCTGGCCCATGGCAGGGGCCTGCTGAGCGCCTGATGAATGTGTGAATGAATGGATGCCCTTAGGAATGAATGCCAGGCACCCAAGTACACATGTACACAGGAGGCCTCCGAATTGCAGGGTATTCATGGCAGAATGCCTATTGTACAGTTGGCAACCAAGGCACAGAAGGATCAGGAGACTGGCCCAGATGCACAGCTGGGGTAGAAACCAGAGCTTCTGGTTCCCTGTTCCACGCTCCCTCCAGTACCCTACATCTACTACAGCAATGCTGTGTTTACTCTAGGGACCAAACTGGAAGGTTAAAAAACAAAATGCATTATCTACCCCTTGAAAAAAAATTGGGTGTATTCTACTATTCAAGAAAAAGGAGATTAAAGATTAAAGGAACAAGTACACTTTTTTTGAGTAGCAGTTATAGATTCATAGAATCTAAGATAAAAATTAGCCCAACCACCTTGCACTCATTTATTAACCAATCAATCAAATTAGTCCAACCAGCTAAGGAAACAGAGGCCAGGGAACACAGCCAGTTTTCATGTAAGCACACTTGGTCCTTCGAACCAAATACATAACCGTTTATTAGCAAGCAGTAGCAATATATCTGGCCAAAGATTTCAGAAAGGACCAGCAGCTGCTGAGTGCCTGACCTCACCTCCTGGCCCATGCTCCTGGGACTCAGAAGCAGCACGAGGCTCCCTGCCTGGCCTGCAAAGCCCTTCTTGTTTATGAGGCGTTATCTCATACTTAGCAGACTGTCCTTCCTTTCACCTCATCCAAGGTGGCTGTCAGAGGAGGGAGTAAGGATCAGTGACTCCCAGGCAGATAACACCCCCAAAGCTGGTGAGGTTGGAGCCCACACTAGCTACTGGCCACAGTCCAGGGAGAGAGACATAGACATCAAAGGGGCAGAGATAGCTCTGCCTGGCATTGGGCCCTGCCTAGCTATACAGATACCCTTCACACTTCCCTCTCACTTTCACACCTGGAGCCAGAGTCCTCCTCCGTGGCACCCTCTACCCAGAGGCTGACAGAAAAGGGACAGATACAAGGCCATCATGGCAGCCGGTCATCTAAGGTTTTCTCTGGTCACCAACAGAGCCCTGGACCTTGGGTAAGAAAGGTGGTTGAATTGTCACCATGCAGCCAGGGGAGTTTGGGCAGGTTCCTAAGACCCCTGTGGCCTTACTTTCTCCCACAGTGAGCAAGTCTTATGTTTGATAAACATTCAAGGAGGCTGTAGCAGCCAGGCACTGACGAGGAAGACACAATCAGGCATCCCAGAGACCTGCCCTTGAGAGATGGGAGATGCATTCACTGCTGCAAGGCCGGGACACAGTATACAGTACTCTCCTGGTCCTCAGCAAAATCTGAGTCCCAGCTGGGCCTCGCACCTGTAATCCCAGCACTTTGGGAGGCTGAGGCAGGTGGATCCCCTGAGGTCAGGAGTTCGAGACCAGCCTGGCAAACGTGGTGAAACACCATCTCTACTAAAAACACAAAAATTAGCTGGCCACGGTGGTGCATGCCTGTAATCCTAGCTACTCAAGAGGCTGAGGCAGGAGAATCGCTTGAACCTGGGAGGCGGAGGTTGCAGTGAGTCGAGATTGTGCCACTGCTCTCCAGCCTGGGTGACAGAGTGAGACTCTGTTTCAAAAAAAAAAAAAAAATCTGAGTCCCTAGAAGGTGAAGTCCACTGAGGGCAATAAGGAGTGGACTGCTACTGCCCAGAGGGCTTGAAAGGGTTATAAAAAGCCCCAACTACAATATAGCTTTCACATAGAATTTTCAACAATATATTTTTAGCATTGCAAACATCATTTTTTAATATATTACATAATCCATGCAAATTCATATATGTAATGTATGTAAAAGCTACATACATAAAAGTTAATTTAGGAAGCATAAAACACCCAGGAGAGCCCACCAACCTAACTTTTAAAAATAGGTTCACTACCCCTGGATCCCTAAATTTTTCTTAACTTTGCTTCATTTTTGAGCTTCATATAAATGGTTTGAATATAGTCTTCTGCTGTGATGTGCTTTTCTCTTTTCTTTTTTTTTTTTTTTGGGGGGGGAAGGGACAGTCTCACTCTGTCACCTAGGCTGGAGCGCAGTGGCGCGATCTCGGCTCACTACATCCTCAACTTCCCATGTTCAAGCAATTCTGTCTCAGACTCCCAAGTAGTTGGGACTACAGGCACACACCACCACATCTGGCGAATTTTTTTTTTTTTTTTTTTTGTATTTTTAGTAGAGATGGGATTTCACCATATTGGTCAGGCTGGTCTTGAACTCCTGATCTCAGGTGATCCACCCGCCTCTGCCTCCCAAAGTGCTGGGATTACAGGCATGAGCCACCACGCCCAGCTGGTGCTTTTCTAGAACTTCCTTTGTGTGTGTGTGTGTGTGTGAGATACAGAGTCTCAGTCTGCTGCCCAGGCTAGAGTGCAGTGGCACAATCATAGCTTTTTGCAACCTCAAACTCCTGGGCTCAAGCAATCCTCCCACCTTAGCCCTCTGAGTAACTGGGACTATAGGTGCATACCACCATGCCCGGCTAATTTTTTAATTTTTACTAGAGACAAGTTCTCGATATATTGCCCAGGCTGGTCTTTAACTCCTGGCCTCAAGCCATCCTCCCGCCTTAGCCTCCCAAAGTGCTGGGATTACAGGCATGAGGCATCGTGCCCAGCTGCTCTTTTTTTTTTTTTTCTTTTTCTTGGAACAGGGTCTCACTCTGTCACTCAGGCTGAAGTACAGTGGCATAATTACAGTTCACTGCAACTTCAAATTCCTGGGCTCAACTGATCCTCCCACCTCAGTTTCCCAAGTAGCTGGGACTACAGGTACATGCTACCATGCCTGGCTATTTTCTTTTCTTTTCTTTTTTTTTTTTTTTGAGACATGAAGTTTCACTATATTGCCCGGGCTAGTCTCAAACTCCTGGCCTCAAGCAATCCTCCCACCTGGGCCTCCAAAATGTTGGGATTACAGGCATGACACCACCTGGCCCAGCCTCATTGATATGTTTCTCTGATTCACTGACATATATAGTTAATTCAGTTTCACTGCTATGTAGTATTCTGTTGTGTGACCCTATCATTCTCTCACTGAGGGAGGTTTGGGGTCATTCCCAGTGTTTTGCCACATCAAAGAGGGCGGCTATTAACTTTCTCATGACTCAGTGCACTTGCCCAGGAACTTCCCTAAGAGTGAAACTGCTGGTGTTGGCGTGTGTGTGATATGTGCCCTTTTCCTTCACAACTGAACACATGGTCCAGTGCGTTGAACTCCAGTGGGCACCTGATGGAGGCAGCAGTTTACCACATCCAGTCCACATCTTGAAGTCCATCAGTGCCTGAATGTGGTTACGTATGGAAGATGCAACGACACTTCTAATCAATGCACCAATATTTCCACTTTTCCATTTTCCCCTTGATAAAGCAGCTGTCAAGATAAAGCCTAACACGGACTTCAAGTTCCTGCACAAATGACAAACTTGCAGGAACAAAGATGGAAACAGTGCCCAAAGAGAACCGCTCCCAGTGCAATGCTTGCAATATCCCTTCCTCAGCTGATTAGCAGAAATCAGAATTCACAGGGCAGTCTAGGAGCACCAGCATGCAACAGACACAAGTGCAGGATGCATGAAGGTTGAAGGCAGGGGTCAAGGACCACCACGGCTCATCCAATCACTGGCACTTTTCACACGGCACAGTCCTCAACTATAAAAAGGTCCCTTCCCCAACCATGGTGACAACACTGGAAGCTCCTGGTCATCACTCATCAGAGAACTCAGTAGGTGCTTAATGCATGTTTGTTGAATATAGGGCACGTTAGGGGTACCTACGGGGAGGGTCTCGGCACCAAAAACTCCCAGGAGCACGGTTTGCGGAGAGGGGGTCTAAGTGGTGCCCTCTCGTGTTGTGCGACGGGCAGGCCCAGGCTGGAGGGCAGAAGAGCCCGCTGAGGCAAGGAAATAGACTCCTGGAGCCAGAGGAAGCTCTCTTTTCTGCTTCTGCCTTTGCCAAATCCAGTAAATACGTCTTTCTGGTCATTTCCCCTACCCCAGTTCAGCGGGAAGCTCTTGCCATGTTCAGCGGCCAGCCTGAACAATAGCAGGGGCTGTTCTGCTCCTGCACTCACTAACAATGGCCAAAGTATCTGAGCAGCTCAGAGAAATACCAAATAAAAATACTTTTTTTTTTTCCTCTTCCACAAAAGCAGAGCTGCAGGGAGCAGCATAATGGCCACTTCCTCTGCCAAGGAACTTGAGTAATGGTTTTCTGAATCTTTAAAACTGAGTCACTATTTTTTAAAATAGGGAATGATTAATTATAAACCACCCATTGGCAAGTACTGCCTGTCACAGCCCTCCTTC